ATATAAAGGTTGGTTCTATGATCATTCACAGGGGAATGGATTCAGCCTCTTGCTAACCAATAACAAAAAGGACCTTGCTGGTACTTCACACGGTACCCATCAGTCTTACAACCACACTAGCTGTGATATACACTTGGTAGTTGAAAGTTACAAAAAGTAAGTCAGTGGACCTAAATAATAATATAGTTTTTGTTTTGTAAAAGTCATATGTGTTTATGTTAAATCCAGTGTTTAGTTAAGATACGTCTGTTCTGCTGGTGGAAGAGAGAAATAACTAATTCTTTGTTTCCATCTTCACCTATTAACTTAATGGAAAAAGGTATAATCTCTGGCAATGTCACTGTCCAATTCATTTGAGTCAGTATTTATTGACTGCTTATTTCTTTTTGGTTACTGAAGTTTTGTAAAAAAGAAGCAGTTGTAGGGAAAACGTGAAAAATGCTAAAACTAAGCTAAGAGAATGTTTTGCAGAATGGAGAAAGACAGCATACACAATTCTTAACAGTAGGTTATTATTTTCTCTCTGTTGCTTTAGGATATGGAAGTGAAGGTTGTTTCTTACAATATGGAGTGAAAAACAGAAATGACTGTCTGAATGAATCAGTCTGCAGTAAATTGTGTTGTTACCAAACTATTTTCACCTGCTATACAATGCAAAGGACTCTACTGAGGGTCACAGCCAGTGAAAAGTTACTAATTTCCGTTTTACACAAGACAAATTTTTATTTTATTCAGATAGTTCACATTATAGAATTTTCTGTCAAAGGATTTACTGCTATATGCTTGTGTAATAAAAGCTGTCGTCAGCTTTATTCTCCAACCTTTCCACTGCTGAAATTGGATGAAATTGTAATATACCACTAATGGTGGAAGTGTACCATGATATTGGTATGCCAAGGTTGTGCAGTATAAAGAATTAGTCTATATTATAATAGTGGACCTTGGTATAGCATGGTTTTAAACATATTGTATTATCATGATGGTATCAGAACAGTTTTGCCATTATATTTTTTAACTATTTTGGGATTTAACTGCAACAAAAATCAGCAAAGTAATAAATAAATTAGGGTAAAAATGATAATGTACAACAAAGTGTCCTGATGTGCCAAATGTGGTTTCTGTTGGAGATTTTTTAAGCCAACACTCTCATTTCAAGAACTGAATGGACAGACTTTTTTACTAATTAAACCTGAATACAGTTACATTTTCATTCAAGTGAACACTGAGAGAATTCCTGGATATGGATCTGGATATCTCTGTAATGATTAAAGAAACAGAAATAACAGTAGAGTTGATCTATTTTTTGGTTCATGGTTGACCACCTGGAAACTCCTCATAGGCTCTTGGCAGTTACCAGTCTACTTTAGACAATTGGTACAAAAGTTAAAAGGACAACCCTGGTGGTCTAAACACACTGTATAATTTTGACCCACGATGCTTCGCAAAGGCTGTAATAACATCATGGACAAATTGGGGAGTGTGGCTGCCAGAGACTGGCCATGGCTCCGGAGCTTTACCAGACCTGATTCTGATTTCTGACTGCTGTCTGCTGCTGTGTCAGCACACCTCAAATTGGTATCTATACAGGCATCCACCAAAGGTTTTCTCAGTAATTTTGTCCCTTTCTATTAATTATAAGTAATTTCACTTCAAGGCATTTAATTTGCATTTTTATTGAAAAGTCTTGACCATTCATAATTAAAGTTACATGGACTGATCATGTAGGGCAGCGAGGTATATCTCACACTGAGCTTTAACACAGCTTCTTTATACAGATTTGTTAACATTATAGTATGTAGTAATCAATGGGTGATCCATTTTTATGACTTTTTAATGCCACATATTTTATAGTCCTATAAAGATGATGTCTTTTTCCATAAAACAGCTTTTCCTCCTGAAAAGGTTTTTTTGAAAGACAGAGTGGTGAATGCTCCATAGAGTACCATTGGTAATATTATAATAAGGTGCAGACCTTGTGCCCGAGGTGTGTTGTCCCCTGGTGTAATTTGCTGTGTGGGAACCAAACTGCATATTTACACAAAGAACATACAGGCCTGTCCAAGCTCTTTGTCTGATGTATGACTCACTTGTGACCCTCAGCTGTTGTCGAACCATGGCAAAGAATAAAAATGCGTCTTCTGCTTATCTTAAGATTGTTGGTTTCTAAGCTCTAAGGCTTGCGCTCACAACACAGGCTGGCTCAATTCGGTCACTTTGTTCTTTCTTTTTTTTGTAACAAATTTGTATTGGTTTTCAACAGAAACACAAGTTATAAATTTTGCCATCATGTCAGTAACAGAGATAGATAAAAGAAAAGAAAAGAAAAGAAAAAAATATATATATATATAGCCATCCATCTATTCTTAGCAGGAAAATGTCCCAGTCTACTTCTCCCCCTTCACCTTCACAGTATATATAGGAGCCTCTCTCCATATTGCTCTGCATACACACACATTGTCCATTAGTGTAGCCATAGTAACAACAGCACCAATATTCTACAAAAGTAAGCAGTGATACATCAAGCGAGGTTAAAACATTTAAAAAAAGAAAAAAGGTAAAATGACAGTATTTAAGAACCACAAGAGAAGAAACTTACGGATTTATCCCAGGTGGGTGTGGCCATTTTAGGGACAACTGGCCCCTCATCACTAGCCGAGTCAAATCCTCAGGTAGGTAGTTAAGCAGAGGAGCCCACATTTCATTGAAAGACCTCTCGTTACCCTTCGCAACTGCACTAAGTCTTTCATGGGGGAGGACCCTGAATATTTCCCTATACCATAATGTGACAGTAGGTGGTTTATCATTGATCCAATTAATTAAAATCAATTTTCTAGCCAATAATAGCAATTTGTTGCATAATTTGAACTTTAAATGGGTTAGAGTCACCTCTCTTGAGGGGAGGCCGAGAATAAAAAGGCCTGGGTCCCTCTTAACTTTTGCATGAAAGATGTAACCATTCCCACAGGAATCAAGCGTGGCATGCCCAGTTGTAAAGAATTATGTTCGGCAGGCCCAAGCCTCCCCTGTCGGAGGGCAGCTGTAGTGTTTTCATTTTCTGTCTTGGTCTCTTGCCGTGCCATATGAATCTAGAGAATGCTCTCTCTATATCAAGAGCAACCTTCTTGGAGATCCATAAGGGTAGCATTTGTAAGGGATATAATAACCTGGGGAATACATTCATTTTAATTAAGCTAATGCGCCCCATAAGGGATAGGGGGAAATCGTGCCATCTATCTAAGTCCTTCTTTATTTTAGTTGCTGTGGGAGAGAAGTTTAGCTTCCATAGCTCCGTCAAGTTTGGTGAAACTTTTATCCCAAGGTAGGTGAAGCCTGTGGGAGACAGTTTGAAGGGACAGTTGGTAGATGAAGACGGATCAGCCGGACTACCCAATGGCATGGCCTCTGATTTTCCATAGTTGATCTTGTAGCCTGTGAAGGAGCTGAACTCCTGAATAATAGAGAGAATAGTTGGTATTGATACGTCAGGTTTTGTCAGAAACAACAGGTTGTCATCGGCATAAAGTGCTATTTTATGAACTGTTCCTCCTACTGTCATGCCATGCACGTCTTTGTGTTGCCTAATTACCTTCGGCCAGGGGCTCAAGTGCCAGCGCAAAGAGCAGCGGAGACAGGGGGCAGCCCTGTCTCGTCCCCCTACACAGTGGGAAAGGCGATGACTATGTGCAATTAGTTACAACGCAGGCCTGTGGAGAGTTGTAGAGTATCCTAATCCATTTGAGAATTCCCCTCCCAGCCCAGACCTCTCCAGTGCATCAAATATATATTCCCACTCTACCCTATCGAACGCCTTTTCTGCGTCTAAAGATACAGCAAGTCCTCTATAATTTGTCTGACTTGACTTTGTTCTTTCTATTCTCTGTCAAGTACGACACCAGAATGTTAAAATGGTTCTTGATAACAGGGAAAACTTAAATAAGATTCTCTAGTTGCCACAGTTCTTGCATTAAAAGTATAGCTATTGATTCAGCATTTGTCAAAGAAAATGCACTTAAGAGAAAAAGATTCATCATGAGTGGTATTTGTTGTCTTCAAAGACATATTTTGTTACATTTATGTGCCCTGTTCTCCAAAAAAAGACATGCTGCCACCATGCCATGCCTACTGATGTCAGATGAGGGCAAAAGGGTGCAGAAGATTTATTTATTATTATTTAATTTTTTTACTTCATCCAGAACCAGGATAACTGTTTCTCCCTCTTTCCTGTGTATTTTTAGCAACGCAAAACAAAAACAAAAACTGACATTATTAAATTTGCAGCTTGATAAAAGGTTTTGTCACCATGAAAATAATTAAATCATTGTCATTTATTTCAATGATAGTTGTATCTCTGCCATTACAATATAGGCTCTACACTTACTGTCTGAACCACGAGTCCATGCATTAGCTGATTGCTTTGGACAAGACACAGCGGTAATGACAAAAGGAATTAAAGTATGCAAATACAGGCTAAAGACAATTATTCAAATCAAACATCTTCTCTTCAAAATTGCTGGAGGAAAATGAGATTACGTCTTCTGGCAAAAGTAGAGATGAAAATGACTTTTATACACTTCTCAGGAAAACCTGTAAACAGTAGACAAGTGTCTGTATCTGTCTGAGTGTCTCTGTACCCATTCTATGCACTAATTGAAATGTTAAGATGCATCAGACTAATTTGCTTAAAAGCACTTGCTTGATATTTGTTGTGTATGGCTCTTATTGTTTTACATATTGGCATTCATCTGTGTGGACTAAGTCACAGAAAGTCTTAAAACAAAATGAACTAGTTTTTTCTTCAATTCCTGTTTCTCTACTCTTATTTCTGAAATTGCCTTATTATTACAAAAATGTTTTTCTATCTGTGTGATGTGCTGCTTTTTTGTTGACCAGAGTAAAAGCATTGATAATGTCCAGACTAATGTGGATGTGTAGAAATACACGTCAATTAAAAAAATAAAAATAGAAAGATGATAATTGATGCACTTTTTCATATTCCCCAGGTGTGACAAGGAGGCTGCCCCCCGTTGGATTTCAGTATTCCTCTGACAATCTTGACGTCAAACGTGATTTGGAGATTTGGAGAGAAGACAACGTTTTTTGTAGCTTGACTTATCAGCCAGTCCCAGACCACCTATTCAGGTAAGGATACCTGACATATATGGTCCCAAATGGGATGATATAATTTATGCCAGAAGATCCAGTTTACAGTAGCAACACAAGCTGTTGACAAATGCATCTCCAGGAAAAACTGCTGACATATTTAGGTGTTTTATGTATGCGTTATCTCTCTCCCCCAAAAGGCAAATTAAATAAAACCTAAAATAATGCAGCTATACAGCGTACACATCCTACAGCTAATAAACTACATGGGAAGGAAGGACATGCATGTAGTTCTGGCCAGGCTCCTGGTTTAACCAGAAGAGCCTTAAAAAATATTGCTGGCAATATAATAACGAGAAAGAAAGCATTATTGTGCACCACGATTGTTGTGGCAGCTCGCCATACATGAATGAATGAAGCCAAAACCAGCCAATACCTCATACAGCATTATTGTAAGCCGGTTCAGAACCACATTCATTTCTCCTAAACATTTGAGATGTGGTGAATACCTGTCAGAAAGAGAAAAAGGAACATTTACAACAAGAGACAGAGAGAGACAGAAAGAATGCCTGTTACCTCCGCAGATGAAATGGCTGTGTGGGTGGATGTACATGTGAGTGCAGGCTGCTAGGAGCTGTGAGTGGGAAGTTGGTACTGAGTGGGAAGAGAAGAGCTGCTTTAGTGAGACGATCAGCACCGAGGCCTGCTAAAAGGCAGTCACGCTTTCGTGGCTTCTCTTTGTTTTCTGCACTTGTACAAATGTAGTGAGGCTGGTGATGGATGGTGGATAAGAGAGTTTTATGTGTGCCTGCCACCGTCTATATATGTGAGGGTCAGTAGATGCTTTTCCTTCCTATTATTTTCACGTAAAATCGTGATGTATCTACTGTAGTTACAAGACATGGAATAGAGTGAATAGACCGGACAGACACTGTGGTCAAAACATGTATAAAAGGAAAGAAAGAAAACCTTACAATTTAGGAAACTAATACAAGTAGTCCTGAAAAAGCTATTTGATTGTGTGGCCGATTCACATTTGTGTGAATATCATGAAAAAATACGGCTGTCGCTGATTTTCTGAAGATCTTTCAATATATTTGATCAACTTCCTGTTAAATGATGACCAAAATGAATCTGAATGTGTCAGAAACAACCAGAACATGTGTATAGCATCACACAAGTCTCGTTCAAAACATGGAACAAATAAGTTGTTGATGCAATGGATGATTTATAACATTATTTACAAATAAATAACTTGCTCCAAACTCACTCTACTCCCTTCACGCCTCTCTTGTCCCTGCCTGAACCGGCTGTGTCTAGCTCTGGTTGGAGCCACTGTAAATCACCTGGCCCCCAATGGTGTCGGACGCTGTGTTCGGTCCTGGCCGTGGTCTCTGGGAGGCTGAGGAGCCTGACTCCATTTCCCACTTGCCCTACTCTTGCTGTGCTGCTCTCCGGCAGTCCAAAGCTCCCGTGCGAGGTGTAAACAAACCTCCCTCGCAGTCCGGGCACAGTCAGCTAATAAGACCACTAGTGAGCTAGTTGCAGCATCTGGTACAGTTACAAGAGAAAAGGTTCGTGTTGCAACAATCCCCTGATACTTTTGTCCCGGTGACAAGGGGCATCTCCCGTTTGACAGAAAAAAATCCTCTCGTTTCATGTATTAATTTCAGGAAGGTTAGTCTCCTCATTGCTTCACAGATTTGGTGTTTTTCTACTGCCGAAATTCTGTATTTAATACAACAAATTTTTCATCAAAAAAAACATTTGCAATTTCCTTTTTAGATGTTTTTATTCATGTTTGGAAACTCACCTAGTAAAAAATGCTGTGTTCTCTCCATGTTCATAATTCCAAGATATTACTGGGTGTTTAAACAAATGGCCAATGCTGTTGTTTTTTCTGATGAGAACCATCATGTGAAACATGAAGCAACTGGTGTCTTTCTGTGTTGTACCCTCTCCTTTTTATCAGTACATAGGTTTAAGACCCATCCAGTTCTAATAACATAATTCCTGGATTGAAGCTGCTAAGAGGCATTATTTTATGCTGTTCAACAGCTCTTTACTTTCATGTCAAAAAATCACAAATGTGCATATTTCTTCGATAAAAAGCCTTTGAAGCCGCATTTACCTTACACCTTCACTATAGCTCTCCACTGACAGTTGCTCTAATAAGCTCATCTTTTGACAGAATCTTAAAGCATGCATGATGTGGGTTTCCTTTCAGGTTTTATAAAAAGACCCAGCATGGTAAAGATGATGAGTAAAAACTACACTGATGAAGATTATCAACCCTATTAGATAATTTTGTCTTGAATGTTTTACTGTGAAGAACAGTGTTTGGCAGTAATTCATTACTTGTAATAATATTACAGTAATAATATTTCCCCCCCAGTAACTTGTAGTGTAACTAATTACTGATCAATTTCAGTAATAATATTACAGTTACCCCACCAAAAAACTATTAGTTACATCATTACTTTTGTTGTCACCCCCTACTGATTTGAAATCCAACAAACCAATCACATCTTTGGATTCATGTTTGTAATCGTGGAGCAAACTAGTTTGGAAGATAGAAACGCTTACATTCAGAGGCTGGAAATATTCCCATTACTTTGATTTTAACAAATAATTTAATCGTTGGAAGTCTAAATTTTGGGGAGAAGGGACACCATTACCATTTTTGTGGGGACTAGCAGAAAAGTGATATAACTAGTAGCATAACTAATTACTGTTGGCAGGTAGTAATAAGTAAAGTAATAATATTACTTTTGAAAAGATTAATGAGTTAAATTTAGTTACTAGCCCAACACTGGTGAAGAACTACTGACAAAGAACAAATGTAGTAGAGACCCTGTACATACAGTGTAAGGATACAGTTACCTGACCCTTAACTACTTTGGCTTCAGCTTCTAGCTGAAACAGTTAATGGATAAAATTTGACAATTTTGGAAAATATGTTTAGTTGCTTTCTTGCCGAGATTTAGATGCCTGTACAGTAAATATGTAGCTGGAGCCAGCAGCTGGATATTTTAGCTTAGCATAATAACTGAAAACTGGGAATTCATTCTCGATCTTAATCAATACAAAAATCACAAATGAAGTGTAAAATTGACAGCTTGCCATTTTACTGGAGGTGATGTGCCAGATTATTTCTTGTTCGGGACCAGTTGCCAGGCAACCAGCGAAGACATAACGGAATTGTTGCTTTTACACTTTGGTTTTTGTACATTTCCCGTGTTTATACTAAACTAATACTAAAGCCAGAAATGTATTGTACAGACATGAGCGTCATATCAATCTTTTCGACTTACTCTCCAAGAAAGCAAATAAGCTAAATTCCCAAACCTATTCCTTTAAACATTCACTTGCTTTTAAATATATGCATGTCTGCACAGATTTACAAACATGCAACTTTACACATGTGCAAGCATGCACTCATACTGTACATATATGTACAGTAGACACACACACACACTTAGAGGAACTACATCTTGCACCCCTAAGCTCCTCTCCTGCTCTCTGGCTCCTGCAGTGAGACGGCCCTGAGAGGAGAGCCCTGCAATGCAGCATCTGTGTGACTCACACACACATACACACACACACACACACACACACACACACAGAGTGAGATGGTGGCGCGTGAAAGTGCTCAGCTCGTAGGAGGGAGATGAGGAGAGAAAGAGAGAGAGAGCAGAGTGAGGGGAAAGCTGAAGCCTGATGAGAGGCGTAGGAGGAGGAGGACGAGTGAGTAGGAGGAACAGCGATTGGAGGAGGTGGAGGAAGGTGAAGAGGGAAGAAGAAATAACGGGTGGGAGGAAGATTTATAGGTGAAAGGATGCTAAGAAGTCAGACAAAAGAAGAGAAGAAGAAGCAGATAAGAGCCATGGAAATGACAAATGGACTACTTAATTAACTCGGTGATTACCTTGTCTGGGCAGAACTTTTATGGCTGATGCGTTCACAGACAGTTTATCACTCCTGCTTCATCTCTTTAAGCTGGACACACATTGTGATACAAGCTTGAATTGACAGGGGAACATTTGTCTTCAAATGATCAGCTATCAAGTTAATCTTCACAAAACTTTTGATTGCTGTATGATGTCATCATTAGATTTTGCTTTGCTAATTGCTATTTTTGTTGTGGGGCGATGTTTTGTAGGAATGGCCTGTAATTAGCCTTCAGTTTGCTGATATCTGCAAGCTTCTTGCTTGATAATTTGTTGAGCTAAGCTAATTCACATTGGTCTCCCAAAACAGCACTCAACAGTAATGCGACAACACAATTAACAGAAGACACTGTGTTCAGTCAGTGAGTTGTAACTTTCACGTAACACATCAACCTCTCTCAGTCTGCAGAAACAATACACTTATTTTTGGCACTACTGGCTGTTTTGAAATTAAATTAAGGTTAAGAATTTGTCGTTACTTTTTCAGCCTCTTCTGGTTTCAAGGTTCAAGAGGAATTTTGACCATTTGTATTTCCACTTCACCCAGCACTAGCTCTTTGACTGTGGGCTGGTAAAAGCTATGGTGGTGAGGAATAGACATTTTTAGCCTCTGAAAAAAGATACAATTGTACTTCAACAAGCTCTTCTTGCTATGTGACAAGTGAAAAGTGCCAAATCAAAATTTAAAATTTTACAGTCCATCTCTTAATGGACTATATTTATGTTTCCGCCAGACAGCCCACCTGCTATTTTAAGGCCATGGGAAAGGCTATGTGGAGCAATGTGTGTGTGTGTGTGTGTGTGTGTGTGTGTGTGTGTGTGTGTGTGTGTGTGTGTGTGTGTGTTCTGTTTCGACTCTTTAATAGTGTGTCCTTGCCAGTATTTCTTCCTTCTATTGACTGAACATCTGTTATTTTCTATGGCTCGTGACTCACTGGGAAAATTCGATTGGAAAAAATGATAGACATGTTTCCCTCCCTTGACAATTACTGTCAAGGTGCCCTTCAGCAAGGCATTAAACCCTCTCTCAGTGGACACCAATAAAACACTGTGGTTATACTTTACAGTTTTAATGTGTGGTTTTATCTGAATGTGAAGCAGGTAGTTGCTGGAAGTCGTCGTGATGTTCTTTCCTTTCATAAATCAGGGTTTTACAGAAACAAAAGAAAGAAAAATATAGTTTTCCTTTGTAAGGATTTGCTCAACTTGCTCAGCTCAACTCACAAATCCAAGACAGCAAAATTTGAATGTCTGTGGTCTATAGTCTCTTTCTCTGGATAACCTCCTGAGGCCACAGTTTTTAGCAAGACAGAGTCAGTGGAGGAAAAGTACCCTGAGTGGTCTAGAAAGTGAAGAAAATTACCCCCTGCAGCATATGTAGAAGGTTTTCAGGTTTCTCATACAAAAGTCTTTTTTCAACAATACTGCACTAGAGCCTTGCATAAGGGTAAACAACATCCACTGTGTACTGGATAATGCAACTTGTCACTGCTGATTCAATCCTGGGAAATGATCAGCGTGCCAGTATGCAGGTGAGAGGAGCAGAGATATTGAACTTGTATACTCAGCCTTTCTTTGCACTTGTAACACTTGCAGGACTTGTTACTGAAACTGAAAATGTAGAGGCACACATTGCCTTAGTTTGAATGTATTATTCATGTGCACTGTAAAAAAAATCCCAAATCCAAATGTAAACCAACAATCACTGTTTGTACTGTAGGGTAGGGTTGGGTGATATGTTAATAATCGCAGATTGCCGATATATTCGCACATGCGCGTATGCTGTGCCAGCAACAAGATTCATTCATGCAAACAGCAGTATCAGTTTGTCTAAAACAACACAGAAAAGCTCAGAAAAAAAGTGCATATTTCATTATTTTACAGGAGAAAATGAAAATACTGGGGGAAAAATCCTCTCACATCAGCAGGCTTGGTATCACAGTTGTTTACTACTTAATAAAAATAAATCAGTGGTTGTAGTCTGGTGGTAGATTTGGTATGCTGCTACTGTAACTCCTTAATGAGTTACAAGTTACTATCCACAATGTCCAGTAGCAGCAGTGTCCAGCTCTGCTCTGCTCGCTATTCAACTCCATTCTTCCCTGGCTCAGAGAGTGAGCATATCAGCATCAGCCATCCCTCTGGCAAAGTGCCACAGGCTTTTTGCCAAGTGCAACAGACCTGCTGTCCACTGAGACACTCCACGTCTAACTCTATCAAATCACCATCTCATACAGTCTCACTCCTCACTGGACACAATGCCTTGAGGACAGTATATTATCTGGACAATATATATTGTCTAGTATCCGGTGATCTACAATTTTGTGCTCTTCACTTGTCTCCATCATTTCCTCTCTAAACTGATCTTGACAAGAATTTCTTTTTTTTAAGTTTCTTTCTCTTCTGCTCTGTTATCAACCCTCTACACTCTCTTCACTAGGTTTGCTCTTGTGTGCTTGACATTCTCTGCTCCTCATACTCACATTTTACATCATACCCTAAACCAGAATTTTGTTTTAGAATACAGAGCAAATGCATGGCATGTAGATTAGTAGCGACTGTACTGCAATGCAGCCCCAGTTTGTTTCAGGCTAATGAGGAAGGCGTAGTTTCACACGATAATGTTGCCTAATGCCTCTCTAATCTCTAAACCCAGCATGCTGAGTTTTCATAATGCTTAGTAATGGCCCCAATTGTCTTCTTTCAAGCTTTAACCCAGTAGGTGGAGCTGTTTCTTCCACACATGCAGCATACTCTTCCTCATGAACATATGGGCCATACAATTAATAGTGTCATCAGCAGCTCAGCAGTCCTCCAGGAATCCATGCCACACTTCCTTCCCTCCTCATGAACCACCACTGACACCCTGAGCCTGGCCACTAGTCAGGATGATCTTGTTGGATTTTGGATTTCAGCCACAAAGCCTCAAAGTGACCTTCATCATCAGACAGACAGCACTGAGACATAGCGTCAGGACAGCAGTCTCATCTTTGTATTTTATGACTCTTTTAATACTGAGAGTGCTCTTCAATGGAAGCTCGAGCAGGGACACAGTAGTGTAACAAGCAACAGAAGGGACAGTGACAGTTAAGAGGTGATGCAAAATATACCGCTGTGGTTTTTGGACTTAGACAGAGTGGGCATTTTATGAGGAGACTGTGCAGTTCAGTGTGCTGTGGAGACTCTGTAGAGGCTTCATTCATACTGATGTCCCCTTCAGAGCTGAGTCATGCAAAGCTCCATTGACTCCTGAATCTGATCCATTTAGGCTGCAAGGGCTTACAGCCACCATATTCTACTCAGTTCTATTCCATTCTTTCAGTCTGTTTAATGCTATTCTGCTCCTCTGTGCTCTATCTTTGTGGTATTCTATACCGGTGGTTCTCAAGCTTTTTTGTGTGATGTAACCCCAAAGACCTGTCAGTTGAGCTTATTGATGCCACCCAACATTTTCCTTGTTATTTAACAATTATTAAAACGAATTTATTAATTATATAAAAGTGAATATTGTTTTTTTCAGTCATGTAATTGTCAAAGTTTAGGCTTTACCACAGTAGTTGAAAAGGGATGTCAGTGTTGGTTAGTCGTTCTGTGGGTCAGTTGGTAGTTCACTATGACTACTATTGGATGGAGATTCATGGTTTGTAGAGGATGAATCCCACTGACTTTGGTGATCACCTGACTTTTACTTTAGCACCACCCACCATAAACATGACATTTTAGTTTTTTTGTGAACTTCTGTTGGCTGGGTTGCTGTGAAAGAACAGAAAAGATTTTCCTTTTCCCTACAGGATGAATTGCGTTGGCGATCCCCTGATTCTTCCTTTAATGCCCACATCAAGTCAATATGTTTTGTTCCAATACTATCATTTAGCTCAAGTACAGCTAAACAGAGTGTGGCTGTGGATTCTTAATCTTGCTACTTGGAGTGGCACAACCTGGAGCTAAAAGTAATGGATAAATTATCCATTACTTTTAGCTATCTTCTCTGCACATTGCTAACTACTGTTCACCAACACAGCATATAACGTTACAGGTCTTGTGTGTAAGTTTTTGGGGGCTCTATTTGCAGGATATGGCAGACATTAAATATACGTATGTTTGCGTGTCCTGTGCATAGTCTTACTCGGTAGTTAATTGGTTATTGTGACTATAAATATACTGAAGATCACCTTTACACTTATTTTTCAAATACTATTTGTGTTTATTTCCCTCCTAAACACAAATATGTGGAGATATTTTCTTTAAGTCTGGTTGGAAATCTTCTTTTTTATTCTATTATTTTCCATTTTTTTGTATCCTATTCCATTCTGTTTTATTTTCTGTTTAGACTGTGAGCAGTAGCATTGAATAGATTGCAGTGGCTGGTGTTCACTGTAGCATTACGTTGGTCCCAGGCTGCAGTTATTGACTCCTGTTTTCTCCAGCAGACTTCCCCTTCAGTCTCTATGTCTCTCTGGACTGCAGAGTTAAATGACAAATTGCTCCTTCACACATCTCTTTATGCACAACTACACTGGCTGCTCAGCAAAGGCTTAAAGTATCAAAGACCTGCAAAAACCACCAATTCTTTTTTTAAAGCATCTCCTGTCTTGTGAGTGTGCTGGTGGGCTCATCATTGTCTTTTTCTCTCACCAAAGCCACATTAATTTTTAATGTTTGAAGGCCAGCACTGGTGCAGTTATTGGTATAAGACTGAAACTGTAATATATGAAATATCTGCTGATATCAGCATCAATATCTAGAGAGAAAGCGGAACAACATGCAATAAACAATAAAAATAAAAATGGTCAGCAGACTATTATCCACTATTATACTTATCCACTGAAGAGGAGCTGAGCCTGAGTTAAGGATTTCACATACACAACCTTGTGTATTGATCTAATGCTACATCAGACCCATTCATCTGCTTCCCCCACCTTCTCCCCAATATCGTCCAAGAGATCATTGAATCTTACTGCCTGTCCCTGCCTCAGGCGATTATGTGGGTTGATCAATACTTTTCCCTTTTTGCTTCTGGTTGATCTCCTCTCCATGCTGTTCTGATCAATTATCTGCGCTCAGCATGGTACTTCATATACAGGAAAGCCCTACAGTGGTTTTGACAGTTCTGGTTAACATTGGAAATACTTGTTGTAGAGATCGCGTTCCAAGTCTTTGAATTGTGGCATTTTCTGTTTTTGGAATATTTGCTGTTAGATTATCAGATACAATTGGAGAGTGTGCCGCAAAGGCTACCTGATTCAAACTACTTCTCTGATGTTGGACCCACCTTACAGCCCTACAACCCTGCATGAGTCACACAAATCCAAGGTCTGCTCTGTTCATTTTTCAGCCAGTTGTGATTTCCACCTGGGCCGCTGGCTATATGAGTCATTACACACACAAATCAATAGGGTTTAATCCAGTGGCTGTCACCTGCCCGCTAACATCCAAGGACAGTATTTCACACAAGCACCTACACACAAACTGACACAAGCCCAGATGCACTTTCTGAATTGTTGACAGTGAAGCTCAGTGAAGCTGCAGCAGGGATTATGGATGACAAAAAGAGATTTGTGAATGTGACTGATGTAGTGTGTCCGAGAACCTCCCTTTGGTCTGCACACTGTTAATCCTCCTTTATGTAAGATTGCTAATATTGCATTTAATAACAAAGAAATGCTGAGTTTTGACCATGCTTTGCCTTCTCTCCTCCGTCCTCCATCCCTTCATATCATTTCAGCCAGAAGGAGAGACCCCATCCCTTGCCCACCCTCCCCTGCTGCTAGCTAGCACCAGCATGGCAGACAGTCGACAGCCAGAAGATGGTGCCCCCCAGTGGGACCCATCAGGGGGGCAGGAGCCTGCTGGCACCCATGGAGCCAATGGCTACTCTTCCTCCACCTACAGGACCTGCCAACCGGGTGCCGCCCACATGGCCACGGCCTCCTACTCCGCCAGGGAGAACGGCTTCAATGGAGAGCTAACTGGTGCTCACGCTGTAACTGCAGGTAAGACATGTTTACAATATTTTGATTTTTCTGTTTCATAAGAGGCAAATGTACTTCCATTTAAAATTAAATGCCCCTTGCTTTAAAGATTTGTCTCTGGAAGTGCATCTGACTTAATCAGCAAAAAATGTGATGTGTCTCTTATGGCAAGTGCAGACATGTATATTTACAGTATTACCTTAAATGTGTTGATCAAACCAGGTCAAACATACAAGTCTTGAAGGTAACTGGGAGCCAGTGGATAGTCAGAATCATGGTGCATGAGAAACATATTACTGTAATGTAATGTTTGGTGTTTTAAAAGATGTAAACAAACAGTAAAGAGAAAGTGAGGTCTGTGTGAGTTAGTCAGTAAAAATCAGATTCAGAATCATCAATCACGGTGCAACAACAAGGGAAAATCCCAGTTTAGCCAGCTAAATCTCTTCTGGTCAGTTAATTTTTGTTTTTAATTTTGTGTCCAGAGGTGCTGCCACTATAATGACACAGTAGCGTAATCAATAAGTGATGTGTTTAAATAGAAGTTCTGGTGGTATCAGTCATGGCAAATCAGACAAGCTTATGTTTGTTGCCTTTGAAAGCAGTGCTCACAGTTTGATAATGAAGAGAAAAGTCCACCAGAGTATGCATGCGTTTGTGATTTGGGGTGTGCGTGCGTGCGTGCGTGTTTGTGTATGCATGCTTATGTGTGTGTTGTTGTAGTATGAGTGCATGTGTAAGCTTTGTCTATGAGTTATGACAGTGTTTTTGTGTTATTATGTGTATGTGTGTCCTGTCTCTTGCGTGGGTTTGCAGCACTCCGAATCCTCACTAGAATCACATACTGTTATTAACGGTGCTATAATTAACACATAAAATCTGCCTCTCTACCCCGTAACCCCCCACACCCCACCCTTACTCGCACCCTGGAGACAAGAACAATAATGTACCAATGCTGTAACCATGGAAACGGCTCCCCTACAATTTACTTTGCAAGGGCTTTTGTTCTTTTCGCCTGTAGCTTGCCAAAGACAAGGCCATTTAGCATGTGATGATAAGAGCCCAAATAACCCCCTATCTCCCCTTTAGTAGTGCTTAACTGACACCTGTTTTGATGGACGATAATAAGTATTTTTGATTGTATCTGTCAAATTTCTGAACAACAATGTGCATATGATGATGAGGTGATTACTAATGCTATTAGTGCTTTTGCACATAATACCTTTCTACCCTTCTGCACGTTTGTGTAATTCTTTCTGTTGGCCTACTGTGAGTGTGACCTCGAATGTTTAAACACAATGTGTGGGTAGAAAAACACTCCTATCTCACATGTAACTGTCAGCAGTTATTTCTTCTGAGTGTCCAGGCTCTTTTGTGACACAGAACAGTCACTAAACAAATCACAAGTACTTCAAATGGCCTTTATCCTTATTATTTAGATTGATATATTTAGTGTTTTTTTTATGTTTTATGTGACTAATACTATTATCCTGTGGCGTTCAGGTGGAACCAAAGTCCGTTTTATTTTGAAAAATGAACTTTCAGTCCAAGAAATGTAGTTTGGCATTGTGAACTCGGATTACAAACTAACATTCAGTCAAGAAGAAAAATAATTCAATTAATATGGTTAAAGTCAACTAATTCATTCAAATCATATTTTTTCCCATTTAAAAACTGCATGAATATTTTATATAAATCTATTATTATATATCTATTGGGCCATGACATGCAAATAAATTTGGCTGTGAATATTTTCAAGCAGTCAGTTAGATACTCTGTGTACACGTAAAATGTTCCAGTGTCACCAATTTCAGGTATTAACAAGTATTGAACTCACATTTATTGTTTAATGTTATTAAGCAAACATATATTGGGTCAAAATGTATCTAATGACTATAGTTTGTGAATTAATCTGACTGTCCTGTTTGAGTTGTTTTACTTCTTTCCCTACAAAGCTGCACCAATTTATGTGGAAGGAATAACTGTTAAAATGTCCCATCACATCTTATCAGCATAATTTTTAAAATCAAATGTAACTAACTGCTGCTGAATGCTGCTGAATTTGGTATAAACGATAATGGGAAGTGGGCCATATTTCTGCATTGCTTTACATGCATACAATCAATGATCGTTACAGTTGCAGTTATGGTCGTGTTTCTTGTGTCACGAAAATTATTTTTGACCTGGAATACTTCAACTTCTTAGCATATCAACAAACCTTTTTTTTCTATTTATTCCAGTAGGAGAAGACACATTTCCAGCAAATGCAATCTAAAACACACATTAAATAAAGAACCGGATTATCTGGACAGCTCCCTTCTTAAAGATGAGACTTTTCTATGTTCAGAGCTCTCTAATAAAAATGGGAGGCTATTCCTTTTAGCCAGTGGATCGACATAATTAGCAACTGCCAAGGCCTCATGTGTTCCTCTGGGTCATTATTAGCATGTATCAAAGACACAAAAGCTATAAACAGCCTCCCTCGACATCAAAGTAATGCTCTAAAACTGATATCAACCAGAAAACAGTACTTTTTTCTTCATCAGCAAATTGAACTTACTTACAGTTTATGATATCAATCTTTTCAATGCATCATTTGTCTCAAGAGCTAATCTGTAATAATGATAATGATCACTGTATCAATACATGTTCTCCAATCGTTTGCATGAAAATGACCTCTCAGCAGCTGCATAGCCAAGGCTGTGTTTGTCTGCCGAGCACCTTGTCAGCATACATTAGCATTGCTCCAGAGCAGGGCAGGGTGGGGGTAAGTGGGGCAGAATGGGTGACAGAAGGGCTGATGCTGGCACTCAGTGAGCCTTCTCTCCCTGTGAAAAGCTCTTCAGACTCAACAAGAAGCCATTGAAGCACAAAATTGCCCTCTTGACTTTCCTTTGAGATGAAGTTTAAAAAAAGCCAGTCAACCATGTTGGAGGTGGTCAAGAGAAAGAGACGAAGAGAGGGAGACAGCAAGAAACAGAGTGAGTTAATAGAAATAAAATGAATATAAAAGGTTGTTGAGCTTATTCTAGAGAGTGGTTGGCTTGCATACATCAAGGAAGCCCTTGAGTTTTATGAGGGATATTGCATTGAGCTGACGCAAGTAACTGAGCCTGGTGTCTAGAAGCCTGGACAAGATTTTCTATTGTTAAAGTCCATCCATCTCATCAGCCTAAATCAGTATGTTTGGCTGCAGCAGAGAGGAGATTCAACCAAATGAAGCTCTGGTGTGAAGTATGGACATAAAAAACTGTCGTTGTTAACTGGCTAGTTAGCTGGGCCACAGTGACCCGTAGAGCATCCACACTTCTGGCGGCCGACCCGGCTAACTTCCAGTTTAGCCTTCTTGACTTAACTTGAATGGGGATAAAATTATTTAATCGTGCGGCCCTTCTTGACTAAATGGCAAAATGTTAACGGACAGAATGGATTCAATTTTGATTGTGAATCGAATCATTTAGCAAGGGTTATGACCCTCAAAAAAATGTATCCACTGTTTTGCTGGCGCGTAAAATACACGGCTAGTTTGCATCATGTAACGGGCGCCATTGCTGTAATTACACAGTTTGGCCACTATGTCAAATTGGCTTCAAAGCCTGGCGCTCTTCTTGGGGACTTGAGTTACATCTGATAGCTAATGTTAGCAAAACAGAAGCCTATTTTTCTAGCATTTTGCTAACTTAACATCATGTATTCTGTTAATGTCGCTTTTATCTTTTAACCATCTTCCAAATTTGGATGTCTTTTCAGCATAGACGAGCCCATAGCATATCTAAGTACAGGAACGGGGCGGGGCTTAGGAAGTGTCATATATGTTTTTGCTTCAGTAGGCAAAAATCTGAGCTTTGTTAGATTTACCCTGATTTATGTGCAAGGCAAATATTGGTTTTAATGTTCAGCCACGTCACAGCTGTAATGTACTGGAGGCTGTAGACAGAGAGGCTGAAACAACAACATGCCGTTGGCATCTGAATTACATTGGGACCAAAATCAGTGGCCCACCAGTCTGTTGCTATGGAAACCCCTTGCATTACACATTTTGGGTGCCTTCTGGTATCACACCAAACGGCACTCCTGCTCTCTTCGTGCCCTCTCAGTCCTGCTGTGTGTGTGAGTATGTGTGGTTATGTGTGTATGTGTGTGTGTGTGTTTGTGTGTGGTTATGTGTTGCATTGATTCGGGGCTTCCAGTCGTAGTCTCTGCTCAGAGAGGGAGCGTCCTCAGCTTCAGTCTGCCTGTCATACAGGTAATACATGCTTTTATTTTATTGGGAGAGTTTGTCGGTGTGTACATTATGTTGTTACTTTTGATTATGGATGTAGATACGCAGATATGATGCAGCCGTTCTGTATTTCAGCGCAGCTATTTGTGCATGTGGTTTATTTTACTACCAAAGCCAAAGAAAGGCGGACTGCTATGTCATTTGGCATCACTGTCAGAGAAATGCTGAGACAACCAGTCCAGGCTAGTTGTCATCACTGACAGCTTTGGGGATGCGACAAGGTTGTTTTTTTTTTTTTAACAGTGTATTGCTTTGTGAATATGCATTTCTGTGGATTTGTTCAGAAGACTAGAACTCCATGTTGTCTCATTGAACCCAGTGCCCTCGGTGTTGCGTTTGAATGTCCTTTTATGTCTGTCTAAAAGAGACTGTATTTTGTTTTATCCTCCCAAGGCATGTGCACGAAGCCTCTTAAGAATAACAGTGTGGCAGTTAGGATTTTCCCCCTTTTTTTTAACATTTCGTTTCTTATCTCCACATTCAACCTTTTCACATTTTGCACATTTTTGCCTTATTCTAAAGTCATTTAAATTTATGTTTTCCCTCATAAAGCTACACTCAATACCCCACAATGACAAACTGAAAACAAGATTTTAGAATTTTTGTATTAAAAAGAAAAAACTGAAATGTCACAATGACATAAGACCTATGTCATTGTGACATTTCAGTTTTTTCTACCTATGTCATGGGTAATCAAACCCTTTGCTATGGCACTTGAAATGTAGTTGAGGTGTTTCCCCTTTCTCTTAATCATACATGTTTATACACTTGATGTAAGTCCACCTGTGGTAAATTACATTTATTGGACATTATTTGGAAATGCTAACATCTGTCTAAATAAGGTCTCACCGGTTGAAGGAGCTGCCTGCAGAGCTCAGAAACAGGATTGTACCAAAGCACAGGGCGATAGAAAATTATTTTAAATTCCCCCAAAAATTGTGTGTCAGACATCACATTGTCTGTAACCTCAAGGAAATTGCAATTTTCAGAACACAATGAGTCAGGATCAGTTCTTAACTAGCCACATATTTGTTTTTATTCTCTGACCAACATACATTGTGTGTCATAAGATGTAAACAACAACAACAAACCTTATTCAGGCAGAGAGTCTTTGAGCATACAGTGCAATTCTTCCTGAAACGGCATGAACCCATTCCTCCAGATCCTTCCATTTACTCCCCACCATCGAGCACCACAGTTGTTTTATTCCAACTACATTATTTAGCTTTACTTCAATTATTCTATGCTAGTTTAAGAAAAGTCTCTGTATGTGTGGTTTTGAACTTTTAAACTAATCCCAAAACCATGTAATCTACCCACGGATGTCCGATGAGTGCTAACATTTTGTAAAATCTTCAGCCACTCATTTTGGAGGTGTGGTCTCACTCAGACAATGGAACTATTAACATCAATATTCAGGGTTATGTGACCCCAGGTTTAAGTTTTAGGGGCTGATTTTAGCAGTTTGATGCCACAACCATTGATTATGTTTGACTCTGACACGTTAGTGTCTCTATTTTCCTGTTTAGGAAGAAAGGGTTTTTGCCTGGAAGCAGTGAACATTTATTTTACTTTGCTATTGAAAATGGGAAATGGCTGCTTTGAGTTGGTGAGTGGGTTGTGTTAAGTGTTCCCGGAAGAAGTGTGTATGTGTATGTGTGTAATTGCATGTGTGTTTGCCTGCCAGCTTGTTTGTGTTGATGTGTGGGCGATGTTGGATAGAAAAAGGTCCTGAAACAGCAGCAGTAAAAGCATCACACTGCCACCCAATCCCACATAACCACTGTTACTATGCAAATTAAGGCTGGTTTGATTAGAACTCTGCAGTCCCCCCTGCATGCCAGGCAACACTAAAACCGATTCATACACACAAACAGGCACGCAGATGTAATCTTAGAGACCATAAGACTAGTTTATTAAGTTGTTCGTGGTTTGCTCTAAATTTGGGGCAAAATTGATTTAAAAAAACATATTTCTGCATGAAAAGACATACATCATTGTCACTGATTTACTTTGAAGTTCACCCACTGTTTGCTCTTGGTAATTATCAGTTTGAGCTATAAAACAATACTGTCCTCATTTAGCCCCTGCTGGCTACCAGTGTCAGACAGGCAGACAGTGTCAGCTTCTTTCTAAATGTTGACCCTAGTGTTGTCAGGAAGAGCGTAAATCTCGTATTACCTCAATTTTCTTGCAAAAGACTGAATTCAGTATTCATTTTAATGAATGTTAACTAACTGTGAGATGAAATAGCATTTCAGTGTGTATAGAAGAAGGCGAATTGTAATAGGCATCTGCAGTCTGGTTGAACACAGTCTACAGCTGAAAATATTCACCAGCCGCTGTATCTTGTATGGTTGGATCGGAGAACCGTTGTTGCCTGTCATACCCTCTGTCTCTCCTTGCATTTTCTGTCTGTATCTCTACTGTCACTATCTATATATAGTATATACTATAATAAAGGAAAACTCCCTAAGTATAATCTTGATTTTGTGAAGTATACTTCACTTCAAAGGGATACATTTGAATCCAGCCCAGATTGGGTGGTTTTGATTAAATAATACATTTTGTTTGGCAGGAGCTAAATAAAGACATATTATTTCCTTGCTTTTTTCCAGTGCTGAAAACCAAATGTGCAAAATAGCAAAAACAATAGTTAACAACTGACAGTCGTTCCCTACAACTATTCAGGGAGATTATCCAGGGAGCAAATAAAGAAGTTTATTGTCTCTACAGATGTCTTATATTTCAAACTGTACACACTACTCTGGTCCAGGTTTGATTTTATAGGCTACACTTGTTTAGGGATCCTGGGTTTCCATGGTGACACTCACAGCCTTCTCCAGCAGCCTTAGCATCCCTGCAGTTATGGAAACAATTTCAGCTCCCTCACACTGGCTTTTAACTCAGATTCTGATGACATGATTCAAAAATACAGTAATAGGAGATGAAAGATGTGATATATCCCATGAAAGTTGACTGAGCTACATGCTGTCCTTCAGAGACACTCTGCTTCACATTTTCACACAGTTATATCAGAGATTGAAACCTGGAAGCAGCCCAGTGCACTGCAAAAAAGGAATCTCAAGAAAGTTAAAAAGGCTTTTTTTCTGGGAAATTTGTCTTATTTTTTGTCTAAAAAGAAAAAAAATGTTTGCATTGGAAAAGTAAACTTGTTTTAAGTAAATATATCTAACAGTGTCTTAATAAGATATTACAGCTAATATTGAGTTCGATTTAACCGGTAACAAGTTATAACAATGGGTTGGATAATATCCCAGCAGAGGAACATTTTCATTCTTTTAAAACAAAGACCAATTGCAGCACAACTTCTCAGTTTAAGATGAACAGTCTTTTCCCAGTGTGTAAATGAAACAGCTGTTTAGTTTTTGTTCTAATAAAAAATGCTAAAACTAAGAATGCTTCTGGTGCCTTAATTTAAGACAAAGTCACTTATTTTAGTTATGCTGTTTGAAGAAATTGTGTTTTATTGTAAGATTTCTTTTGCTTATTATTAATTTTAGATTTCAGCTCAATAAAGGGACAAAAATACTTATTTTAAAAAAGTCTTTCTTAAATAACTAAGTTTGTATTGGTTTTAATGAGCATGTTTTTATGCTATTTTAAGGAATTGTAGCCAAGCCAGTGGCTTTGCGCATTGCAGATTTCCTTGCTCAATACAAGAAAATGTGATTATATTTAAGAATATTTGCCTTGTTTCTGCAAGGGCTGTTTGTGCAATGTACAACCACAGTGCCCTGATGGAGTGGCAGATAATTTCAAGCTAGTCTTGAAATTTACACCAAATTAATTTTTCCTAAAGTCTCTTTTACATCTTACGGAGCTTCTTCTAAATGTTTTTTTTTAATAACCATAAAGTTTACTGACCTTGTGTGTGTTTGTTCAGAGCAAGTGTCAGCACGGATCGTGCAGGAAGTGACGGCAGAGGCAGTGGCGGTATTGAAGGGAGAGCAGGAGACTCAAAGGCTGCCATCAGGTAGGCCAGACACACACATACTCACTCTCACACTTACGCATCAACAGGGCATTCAGGTGGCAGAGCACTGTCAGCTTGAAAAGACCACAGTATTGCAAACAGTGCATAAAAAATACATAGCAGGGAGAAGTGAGAGTCTGCCATGTGTGAGCTTACTCATAGGCTTCGCTGCATTTGCTCACCTTACCAACTGAACTGATGGTGAACTGACATCAACTGGCTGTTTTGGGAGTTAGTGAGGATAGATTAGGCAGATAAACACTTTATATAGATTTATTGAAACAGCATCCCACATATCCAAAAAAAGAGCAAAATCAAAGGGAACTCAGATTTTACACATCAAAGTCTGTTCACAGGTGTTGGGCAGTACTACCACATAAAAATGTTGTATAAAGCCTTTTGTGACTCCAGAGGGAGCTGTATTACATCTGAAGTGATGTCACTTGAGTCAGCTGCAGTTGAGGGTGAAAAGTACAAAGTTGAAAATGAAAAAAATCTTGGGTTGTGGAATTAGAAAGAAGTGAGCTAAGCAGACCACTGTAGTATTAGCTGCTACTGGCATAACACACCCAAAACTTGGAGACACAAAGTTTTGACAAGGAAGAAGAATGCATGGAATAAAATAGAAAATATCTCTGGTGCTGCTGCATCAATTTTGAAGACAATGTTATTAAAGTGCAATAAAAAGTGCTTTTAAGTTTTATTTGCAGTTGAACTCACTGGTAGCTGATGGCTTCCATAACAGGGTCACAGAGGCCGAGTTGTCCTCGTTCATCTTCAGCTTAATGTCCTGGGATGAGTAGTGTTGTCCTAGCCCTTACCTGTATAACTCTTGATTTCATACATGTGGCCAATGAATGGTCGCAGATGCTCAAAGTCCTTTACCATGTGTGATTTACATGACTGTATCATTTTGTTGTTCGTCTTCCATCTCCCTTTGTAGTTGAAGACACCACGAATTTGCCTCCCTCTCCTCCCCCTTCACCTGCTGCGGAGCACTTTGGTCCGCTGGAGCAAGGTAGGCCAAGAAGTGTGTTTATCAGAGCATGTCTCTAATTAAGGAGAGTGTGGTTTCCTTCCTTTCCATCACTGAAGCTTCTGGTATTTTATGAATGCCACCACATTGGGGTACTGATATGGGATAGCTCTGGGTGTACTCTTTAATTCCCCCCCTCTCAGGACAACGCCCCACCTACAGGGCACAAACCACACATTGGTACCCGATCAAGAGACTTGTACACACCAGAGTGGCTAAAAGCAGGAACATGTTCTCCATTTTTCAGACATCCATTTCTTCTGAAATCCTGCTTCCTCCTCCTCATCGCACACCTGGAACGGATACAATTTGTATCTTCATCGTCATCACCATTTATCTCTAAAAGAAAGAAGCGCTCACATGCATGACCACCTTGTTACAACAAGTGCACTCTTTTTATCATCCTCCTCTTCCATTTCCCTTTCTAACCTCCACACATCGCTGTCTTCCCACACACTAATATGACAGCCAATTTAGGTAACCCTCCAACCTGTTGTTGTTTGTCTATTTTGTTGAATTATGTCTTACGTTTTGCATGTCTAATCATGCTGTTGTGTTTTCCTGTCATTGTCCATTGTCAGTCTTTTTTGTGTGTGTTTTGCTGTGGCTACAGATCAGAGGTTTAGCTCTATAAACATTACTTGAGGACATAGCTGCTCTCAAGCTGAAGCCAAATAATTTTCTGGCTAGGACAGAAGCCTAGTAACAAAAGTAAGGTGTAAAAAAAAATAGGTTAGCGACTATAATAAAGTCACTGCAAATTGAAATTCAGTCTATATGAACTTAATCTTCTCGATAATTTATCCTAGCTTACCATCCAGGCTCAATCTAGGACTAGGCATACAATTGTGTGTGTGTTTGCTAGCCTTCTAACATAACAAGATTATAAACAATGCTCATAAATAACTGAAAATACCTCATTTAGATTTGTTCATGATTTAAATTTATAACAGAATCCGTTTTATTGCCTTTCAGTTTTCCCAGTTAGCACTGTTGAGTACAGTTGGTTCTATCTTTGACTTCTAAATTTCAATTGAAGCAATGCAGTGATATTTGTGCAGCTGCCTGCAAGAAATGGTTGTAGCCTATAGTGTAACTAAAACTTCAGTCTGCTTCATGCTTGGCAATTGTTTTCATGTCTGCTCAGTCTGAAGTGGCTGGAATGTAATGACAAGTGTCTGTAGGTGGGCCAGCCATGCACCAATTATTTCCAGTTTTGTTAACATTGCATTACTTGTACGGTAGAAAAACTGATTTGAGGTCATAGGGGTTCTTGCAGAAGGTGGCAGTGTTTTGAGTTTTTGACCAGATGATAAAGAAGTTTAGTTATTCGGGTGTTATGTTAGTGGTCATGAAACAAAACAAGTAGGTATATAAAGAATCTCAGGACCTTAGAGATGTTGTAAATAAGACTTTTTGATCTATACAGGAGGTTTTCCTTCGTTCTAAAATGTTGTTAGATGGTGTCTTTGACTGGATCCAAAGGTTTGGTATAGAGGTTTGTTCGTGTAGTGGCAATGGCAAAACATACATACAACGTGCAACTGCTGTATTGGTATTATAACTGTTGTTGTAAGTGTTGAACAACTTTTTGTGTATGTCTTTTATCCAGGTGTAATCATTCATATGTGAAGCAGTTTGTAGCGATACCTTCCTCAAACGGTGCAATACACTAATTTTGTTTTTCTCAGAGTATGGCTGGCCCCCAAAGCTTTGTCACCTTTGAGTTGCTTGTCACTGTCTTCTTGTCAATGTCTTGTGTGTTATGTTTCTCTTACTCTCAATCAAGCTTCGTCTTCTTCTTGCATTCCCCTCTCTGGTGGCTCTCTCTGGTTTTTTTTATATTTGTCTTTTTTTTTCTCTTCTCAAGCTTTATCTCCCCTTTTCACTGAAAAAATGTCCATTTTAAAAAGTCAATTTAGGATTTATCAAGTAAGGAACATGGTAAACATTTAGTATTTCCCTGAAAATAAAGCACAGCTCACCACAGCTGGCCCCAGTTGAACGAGTCAGGTATCATCTCTTATAATATTATATAATCTTGTAAAATTTCTGACCCCCAAAAAAATATAGTGTGTGTGTGTGTGTGTATATATATATATATATATATATATATATATATACAATGATCATAATTTGTTGCAATAGTCCTACTGTACTGTAATACATTTCTAAATTAAGAAACTATACTTTCATAATCCACTTCTTTTTATCAGAATACCAACACCCCTGTCCAATTGGCAACAATGTTTTCAAAGACAAAGATTTGAAGACTCAATATTATGTTAAATCACCTTTAAGATGGACATTCTTTGGTTTGTTCTCCATTTTCTTTTATCATTTTCTTCTTCCTTTTCATTTATCTTCTTCCTCCTCTTCACTCTCTCTTTCAGTCCGTGTGTCCAGATTTCCCTGCAGTTCTTCTCCTTGTGTCTGTCTTGTTTGTAGATGTAGGGGATGAGGAGGAGGCGGGGCCTCTCCGCCGCTTCCAAAATTCTCGGGAGAGGTGCAAGTTCCTCGCCCCCTCCATCTCAGTTTCCGTGCCCGAGGACGACCCCTACCACTCCGACGAGGAGTACTATGAGCACCCATTGTTCAGCCCAGAGTGGACGCACTCGGGCTCACGCCCCACAGGGCAGGCCGTGGCCTTTAGACAGATTGAAGGTGAACCACGCATGGTTCCTCTTTGCCATTCCCTCCCTCCACCATTCCTCTCTCTCTCACACTCTGTTTCTCTCCTTTCTCTTTTTAACACCAATTTCCTCCCCTTCTTCTGTGATTTGACCTCCTCCCTCCATCCCTCCGTCTCTTCGTCCGTCAGTTCGTCTCTTCGTCCGTCTTTGTGTGTGTTTGTATGTCCTTGTGATGTCTGTTCGCTCACAATCTGAGCAATTTCATATTTGTTTAACAGTCATATTTATTTTTTGCATTGATTTCACCCAAAGCCATTGCTACCTGTGGTTGCCATGCGGTTACGTCCAACACATAGCAGTGATGTCTCTAAAGTAGGACCACGTTTTATTTGTGATTCACTCAATGGACAATACACTACAGTTCTCATCAGTAAGACCACATGACCACCAAGGCTTACATTTGGGTCATGAGTTAAGATCCAAATGGCTTTCATGAATACCGTGCATGATTGATGACCTCTATGCACAAACTTCTCTATACCTATCATCTCCCAGAGTTGTGTTTTGGTTCATTCCTCAAGATGACCCCCCACCATGTCAAACCCCCTACACTCATCCTAAACTACTCTCACTATGGTAACGAGGAAGACTTTCAGCTCCACGCACTAGCAAACATCTAGAGACAACCTTACACTTTTATTGTGTTTACAAATACATTATGCAGGCAGTTTCTTTGAGAGATTGTTTGCCCAAATACATAGAGGGAACCTAGGACCTTTATTTACGCAACTATATTATCCATCCCTTAAAACAAACCCTTTGGCTGGGCAGCTTCAACAGCGGACATTTATACCTCTGTCTTCGCCCAAAGCATATCCTGATATAATTTAAGTCCTGTAATTCTTCGCTCTCCATAGCAGCATTTCTAAGCTAGACTAACACAATTCATAACATTTATCTGGTTGAGACCTAGTATTGCTCAATCTCTAAATCCTGATATCTATCCATCTTTGTTTTTTTTTTTAAATCTATTCATTTAATAAATAAACACACAAAGATATGTAAAGAGTATGTCACTGACTGTGGAACTATATACATTGTATAAATAATGTTAATACAGACTGATTGACAGCTTCCCCAACCCTTGCCGTCACTGCTGTAGGATGTCCAACAGCTATATCACATGCAGCGACATTTGGCTGCAAGCTGCTGAATAGAATTTGTGTAACCTACGCAATAACTCAAAATGATGCACAGCAGTAGCTCCTGAAGAGCAAAGCTGCACACCCCCACATTGACCATTACACGGTTAAAAATCCAGTCCGTGCAATGTCAAGAATCTGAGGCACTCTGCTTTTGACTGTACTGAGCTCTTCATGGTCACCTTTTCTAAAGAGCCAGAAATTTCAGAACTAGGCTCTGAGCAGAGGTGCTTGTACCATAGTGCAATGTTAGTGTTGCCACTTCATTTATGTTTCCATTTTCCTTAAACAACCTCAGTCACCAATGATAGTAGATCAGCCTGGGTTGCAGGCATGGTGTGTGCAAGAGAAAGAGAGAAGTTTACGGTGGTTATATTTGTGATTACACAGTAAATACTGAAATTGAAATTATAAAAAGGTATCATGCATGCCTTTAACCAGTATATCTTTATAGTTTCCTTGCATACTGGGTACACCAATATATCTTTATAGTTTCCTTGCATACTGGGTACACTAAGCATCCAAAGTAGAAGTAAAAACCACATAGACACAACGCTCATTTCTCTATGTGTAATGTACCTATATGTGTGAACAGACATACACTTTAGGTCATCTTTTCTTAAAGCTGAAAGTGTCCCATCATAAGTTGTGTTCTCACATAGCCCAAGTCTGTGTTGCCTGTAGTCTTAATGTGTCCCCCTCTCACCCTGTTTTTGAGAAGAAGAGACCATGGAGGCTCTTACAGCTGAATACGAGGAGGAGGTGGAAGAGGAGGAGGAGGAGGAGGAGGAGGAGAGTGCAGAGGCAGCAGAGTCCGAGGCAGCTCTTGATGAGCAGCAGTGGAGCGGGGAAGAGCCCGAGCTGGACAGCCCCCAAGCTGAACCCTTAGAGCAGGCAGAGGCCATAGATGAGGCCCAGGATCTAGACCTGGGGCCGGCTGAAGCAGCTAGTGCTGCTGCAGTAAGCTCTATGGACAGAGAGGAGGAGGAAGCAGAGGGTGAGGAATGCCCCGAGACAGGTGTGTCCTGCCCTCTGCTCTCCCTACCTGCATGTCACTGCATTGTCCACTGTATAAGAACGGCAGATGTGTCAAAATGAACCCATAAGCATTATAGTTCAGGTGGAATGGCAAGTTATCCTCCCTGTGCTCTGCTGTGGCTGCAAGGCAACACAGGCTTGTTGGTGAAAAGAGTCACATTCTTTTGACTTAACCTGGTTTTATTGTGTGCTATCTTTGCGCTTATATCTTCTTTTTTGTGCTGTGGTTTTCGGGGCCGGCCGTTTCATGTTGGTTTGATGAAGTGAAGTGTTGCTGAGCGTAACAATGCTTTCGTTAACCAGCTAGAAGCTTACAGGTTCTCATTATGTTTATACATGGCTTGGTGCTGGTATGCCAGTGTTACGCACTTTTTGTAACCATGAATCATACATACTAAAGGTGCCTCACTTATATTGTTATCATAATTATGTGTACATAATTTGCAGGGGATTTTGTTTTGGCTGTCTCATGTTAAGTGTGGTATTGTTGTCTCATTCAATGCATTATTTTATCAGCAAAATTCATTTGTTTGTTTTCATCACCATTAGCAACAGTGTACATATGGCATTTCTCTGTCATTTGCCAACAAGGTTCTTGTGTATTTTTGCTAATATTCTTTTATTATGTAATGACATATGAACGTCATTAAGAGCCAAAATGAATTTGATGTTAATGAAACTAAGATAGATTTGAACTGGCCAATACAAAGAATGACAGAAATGCTATTCTTTTTGTATCTGATGTTTTGAAGAGTCGCATGAATATCCATTCCATCTATTGTGGCTTGTTTCTCATAAATCAGCATCACAGTTGCCTCATGCCGGTTCCGTCACATTACATGCCATACTCTCATCCATCTGTGACTTGGTGGACTCCATAATCTCGCCGTACTTCTTCAGTGATGGCCGTATCGTTGTGCTGTAAGTTTCTAAGGTGGGCTTTGCCTGTTTGTGATAACGGCTTTCCCAGTCCCTGGCTTAACAAATATCTCACTCGCAGCATGCCAAAGCATTACTTACTATGGTGATCAAAACAGCCAACTTACAGATGTCCTTTCAGCTTCGAAGATGGACTCAGACAAGCAGGGCAGCGAGAAAAGTGGTTCCATGAGCCCAGACAGCATTGGATCGGAGAAACGTCCAGAGGAGTTTTTTGAGCCCCAGGTCCAAGGATTTTTTGCTGGTGAACGAGTTGTACCAGAGAGCCCCACCATGGATATGCCATCCTTTGTACCGCCGAATGTTCAAATCCAAGCCAAAGAATCTGCCAAATCACTCACACTTCAGCCTGCATATGGTGAACCAATCACAGTGTCAGAGAAACAGCCATCAGTGGAGGTAGTGGAGTTCAGCAGCATTGGTGGTCCCTCTGAATTCCCTTCAATAGGAGACAAAGTTCAAGGAGGAGACTCAACAAGAGACGCAGGCGACAGATCTGGTATGTCAGCATATTTTGAAACATCAGCCATGGAGGTTGACGAGGCTCCCCCATGTAAGGGTGAGGGTTATTACGAACTGAGCAGAGCTGGTGAAGAGAAGAGTACAGTTGATGTCAGGCCTCAGGAGATCAGCTACAGCACACTAGCTGAAGCCCAGGATAAACCTGAAACTAAAATAAGTACATCAGAAGACACTAGGGTGTTCACTGTTCCTGACAGGAGTAATGAATGCAGGCTTTCCCCAGGTAAACTAGCCTTAGAGCAGAGGAGTTACTCACTCAACATCACCATTGGAACAATGGATCAAAGTGGCCAAGGCAGACCTAGGAACTTCTCCCCACTAGCCACAGATATCATGTCATACACAAGTGGAAGTCTAGATGAGTCAGCAGACTACCTCCCAGTCACTACACCCTCTGTGGATAAGCCTCCATCCTTCCCTCCCCTTATTCTGGAGACTGCAGCTTCCATCACTTCAGATTCATCATCTCCTCCAAGGACCACTGAAGCAGTTTCTAAACCCAGCCCTGAACCAGAGTCACCAGAATCACCACAGCCCTTTAAGAGCACCTATAAAAATGGAACAGTGATGGCACAAGACTTACCTGAGATGCTGGACCTTGCTGGTACCCGCTCCAGACTGGCATCAGAAAACAATGACCCAGAAATAATCAGAAGAAAGTCAGTTCAAGGTGATTCTCCTGCCTTCACTGATGACCCACTGGCTAGCCTAGTTTCAGGGGAACTGAGTCCCAGAAAGAGTGAAAGCCAGTTGGAAGAGATGGGCTATTGTGTCTTTAGTGAATATTCAGGGCCCATGCCTTCCCCTGCAGATGTGTTCAGCCCTACAGACACTTCTGCACAGGTCTTCACCCCCTCCGTCCTGGAGGAGAAAGTGGCTGAGCAGGCTAGAAAATTAGCAGTCAGAGACACATCTGTGGAGGACAAGAGCCAGCCATCAGGAGTTTCTGATGTCACTGAAGAGATAGACCAGAAGCAGGTAGAGAGGAAAGACTCTGTTGAAGAAAAGGGCAAAGAGGTTGTAGATGATCAACTAAATAAAACTATAAGTGAGACACCACCTGCTCAACTAAGTGAGTCATTTGTGACACCAACAGTCACTGTGACTCTTGAAGAAGGTGGGAGGTCAGAGAGTGAGACTGAACGACAAGCCAGTGGTGAAGGCTCAGCATCAGAAACCGAGATTGCCGACTACGAGAGGCAGATCCGCAAACTGGAGATGGAAGACAGGCCTCTCAGTTTGGAGGAGGAGCGAGAACTGCAGGAACTTCGGGAGAAGGTGAAGCTGGTCCACCAGGAGGCCTATGAAGAAGTTGATGCAGAAGATGTGTACCAGCTCACAGGCGTGGCCAAGGACCGAATTGCCAGGCCTGTCAAAACTTCCCCTGCTTCTTCTGTGGAGAGCAACATCGATGATGACAAGTTGCTCTCCCCAGTGCTCTCACCTTCGAAGCTTAAACAAAGAGAGGTTTATGGTTCCCCCAAAAGAACACCTTCACCGGTGTTAGGAATAAACAAAGAGGAGAAAGAGGAATCAGAAAGAAAAATCAAGGAAGCACAAGAGAAGGAGGCAGCTGAGAAGAAGATGAAAGAAGAGAAAGAAGAGGCAGAGAGGAAGATTAAAGAGGAGGCAGAGAGGAAAGAAAAGGAAATGAAAGAGAGAGAAGAGAGAGAAAGGAGAGAGAAAGAAGAAAGAGAGAAAGAGGAGGCAGAAAGAATACTGAGGGAAGAAAAAGAAAGGAAGGAAAAAGAACAGAAAGAGCTGGAGATTAAAGAAAAGAAGGAGAAAGAGGAGAAAGAGAGGAAAGAGAAAGAAGAAAGAGAGAAGAAAGAAAGAGAGGAGAGGGAAAAGATAGAGCAAGAAGAGAGAGAAAGGAAAGAAAGAGAGGAAAAGGAAAGAATAGAGAAAGAGTTGAGAGAGAAAGAAAAGATAGAGAAGGAACTAAAAGAGAAGGAGGAGAAAGAGAAGAAAGAAAAGGAACTGAAAGAGAAGGAAGAGAGAGAGAAAATGGCTGAGATGGACAAAAAGATTGCAGACAAGCCTGAGGAGATAGCACGACAACCTGAGGAAAAAGCAGCTGTGGAGCCTGTGGAGAAAGAAGCTGAAAAACCTGTGGAGGCTGAGAAGGAGCAAGAGGAAGTTGAGGAAGATGAGAAAGCAGGGGCAGGAGCAGCAAATGAGATCCCAGAGACCCGTGCTGCCATTGAATCAGTGGTGACAGTTGAAGACGATTTTATCACTGTGGTCCAGACTATTGATGAAACGGAGGAGCCGGGACACAGCGTTCGTTTCTCTGCTCCTCCTGAGGCTGAAGCCCTTTGTGTCGCTGCCCAGAAAGAGGAAGAGGAGGAAGAGGAGGAGTCTGTGGAGTTGGCCCAAGAAGCAGATATTGAAGCTGCCAGTCTAGAGGAGGTGGGTGACGTTCCTGAGACCCCCGCCTCCCCTGAGAAGGAGGCTCAAAACGTAGAAACTGAAGGACCAACAGAAAGCTACGATAGAGATGAAACCACAATGGACGACTCCATCCTGGACAGCTCCTGGGTTGACACACAAGGTGAGATCTCCTTTTTACCTTCATATAGATATTATTTTTCCCTTTCTTCTCTCTTCTGCTTCAAAGAAACAAATTTAATACTGTCTTGTGTTTTTCATGTCCTGTTTTGCCACACCGCAGATGATGATAAGAGTATGGCAACAGAGCAGATTGAGCCTTTGCCCAAGATGTCCAGCCCAGCCAAAAAGTCTGCTGTGGTCCAGAACAAGCAGACACAACAGAAGAAGGCAGAGAAACAGGAAAAGCTGGTCAAACCAAAGGCCAAAGGAGGGCGACCTAAAGGCCGGATCTCCACACCAGAACGCAAACCTGTCCGCAAAGAACCAGTCTACATCCCCAAAGAAGAAGTCAAGAAGAAAAAAGGTTCTCATGATGTTTTCCTTTAGATTTCATAGTTGAAGTAGTTATTCATAGATATTGTAGTTGTATATAATATATTGTATATATTATCACCATATTGTATATTTTTACTGCTGTTCTAAATTCATTAATTACACATCATGTGATTTGCTTGCCGATACTAATGTTTGTGTCAAGAAATGTGTAGTCTAAGTAACTAACTTAAACACTGATTTGAGTCAGCTGTTTTTAATACAACAGACACTACAACTAAAAAGGGTTCCTGGAGAAGTTTTTATCAGGTAGCATTCCGTACTGTAACATGCTTCAGCGTCTATCTGTGCTTAATGTTGTGTCTCTGCTTTTGTCAATGGCCCTGTTTCCTGTGTCTGATAATGTAGCAGTGATAAGGAAGACTGAACTTAACAAAAAAATGGAGACTCAGACTCAATCCCCATCCAAGAGGAGCGTGATGAAACCAGCTGTCCGTCAGACCCGTCCCACCCAGCACCACTCCTGTCCTAGAAGGAGACCCACAGGTGACACATTACCTTGGTCTGTCACACAGGTGTTGCTTTCTGCATGAGAGTCACCCGAACACCGGTTCCTACCACATCTTACCTCCACTGTCAAATTCTGTTTGGTTTTGGCATCCATTTTGTTTTATTGGTTATGGTGCTTTGCTTTTGTCATGTGTGTTTCTTTTTTGATCACAATAAAAACTGACTGTTATACGTGTTTCATTTGTTTTTGTTTTTGTGCACATTCGCTCTTTGTTCTTTTAAGAGCAGCTTAACACCAAGCTGAAAGCATCATTTCACTCAGGCCCTGTGGTTGAAAGTTTGTGATTTCAGGAATTACACGTCCATATCACTACAGCAAGGTCAGCAAAAACAAGATTTCCAGCTGGTGTTAAGTTACTATATACATGCATCCTTCCTCACTGTTACCATTTCCAGCCAACTGTTTTTATGTTCTTGGTGTTCATTGGTGGACTTATGCTTTGTCAGATGAATATACTTATATTTTATATAATTATTCCAACTGTTTTAAAGGGTTTGGCAAGTTGTTTCGTGTGACAAACTTAAACATTTCTGACCTCTCTGGTCTTTTTGAGAATTACATATCCACTCAAGCTTTTTTCGACCTATGGTTGCTAAGCAACTAGTAATCCATGGTTTTGTTCTATGGACCTGATAGGACTAATGGTGCTTTGTCCCAGAGGCAGTTAGCACTTCATTTTCCCCTGACGGACTGAATTGTGTGTCACTGATGATGAAAGCTCAGTATACTGCTGCATTGCCCCAATTAGATTATTTTCCAGGGTTGACTTACATAATAGAAAATCCCCCATTTTGTCTGATATCTTGCCAAATCTTTGCAGAACAGAGCTGGGAGGGGGGGCAGCAACCCACTCCTACAGATCATTCAGTTTGTCATATGGCTTACCATGCCAGGTTTGGGAATATAAAGTTGTATTTTTGTATTTCTGTAAGACATTTAAAAGGATCTCACTTCTGCTCCTTCCGTGTATGAAGGTTGAAGGATGTATTCTGTCTGTGTGTTCTAATATTCCTGTAATTCTGTTTCTGTCTGTCTCTTAGAGGCCATACCAGACAGTCGTCAGCCTCTCAGTGTTGCCAGACAGTCCCGCGACAGAGCATCAGTGAGTATACTCCACCAGCCCAACCATGGCATGACCTCTGTCACCAAAACCACTCAGAGACATACCATATCGGAGCTTTACTGACAAACAGCATGAATCACCAAGTAGCTTTACAGCAGAGCAACTAAATAAACATCAGCCAGGACAAATTGACACCAAAGATAGAAAACCAAAATTTTCTCCTAAACAGCAGGGACAGATTTCTCCTTCTCCAGAAAACTGGACTCTCCAACATTAAATCTTCTGTTCTGCAAATCTTTAGGGTGTCCTTTTATAAAGAGTCTTATAACAGAAAGGCTGGTAAACCTGAGCATACTGTGGTGGGTTAAATGTCATTGTATTAAAGTATGTGGTTAATGCATAATAAAGTCAAAACAGATTCCAAACCTTCACATCTAAACCTTTACCTCTTGCTTTTGATATGGAACTCATACAAGTTACCTGGTGCATCTGTAGTGCAGACACTGAAACAAACACCACATTAATTAGGCAGAATAATTATCACAAGAATTAAGACTTATTAAGAAGCTGTTACATATTTTCTCTTGTGACTTACCTAATCATCTATTCAGATAAACACATTACATACTGTTTAGGTGAGAGCTACCCCCTCCCCTCTGTCTATTCTAAGACCTAATCCCTGCATGAAAAACAGTGCATTGCATTTCAACATCACTATTAGTTTTCCTTTGTATTTTATGAAAAAATATTTATGTTGGTTGCTTTTGCTTTTTGTAAAATGTTTGCTATTGTTGTCTTGCTTAATGGGTTTTTGCACAAGTAGACAAGACAGATCCATTTAGAGTGTTTTTTTACTGAGTGGGTGTTGAATTACCCCATGACATTTCTCCAGCGACTGTGGTCGTGACTCCATTTTACTCCTCCACCATGGTAATGACGGTTATTGTGTCTAAAATAACACAGTTTCTGCATTTCTTAAATGTCATGTCACTACAGCATACTGTAAGTGTATTCTGTCATGTTGAGCCGACATTATATTTCACTTTTGGTTTACGGTCTTCCAATATATCTGTCTATCTATGGTTCTCAGTGTAACGAGAATTCGTACATGAGCATGGTGAACAGTATTCTTCACATTCTTATTATTTCTATTTTTTATTTCTCACTGAGATGTTCACAATTACTGTGCATTAATGGTTGTTGTGATGGACCATGATTATATTATGCTGCATCAGATGTTGTGCACCGATATTGCATGTTAAAGCACTGTTATTGTCACCATTCTTTTGTCACCCTGTGTCCTGTATTTTGGTGTCATGCTACTCACCCACCGGGCTTCATCGTTGTACCATCTCAGTGCCATGCCCATCATTTGCCACTAACAAAGATCCCCACCTCCATGTCCAGAGTGGCTGCCACATTAGATAGACCTCGGTCATCCTCAGTAGAGCCTCAAGGCTCCCCAGTTTTACAGAGACTCAAAGATGAGGTAGGTGAATGGTAGAGCAGAACTATAGCTGCAGGAGTTATGTAAAGAAACATGTACATAATTTATTTAAAAATTGCTTTTATTGTGCTATCTTCCCCACCTGTATACCTGTTTTACCTTTTATTATAAATAAATCATAGCCTCACTGGCCTAAGGATCTACTTCTTGTCTCTGGTGTTTGTTTCCCCACAGGATGGTGGGTCATGGAGCCCTGACAAGAGGTCCTCTCTACCACGACATGGCTCAATTCTGAGTCGCCGTGGATACCATGACCAGGAGGAGAGCTCCACCTCCATCACCAGCTCTGGCTCCACGGCTCCTCGCAGACCCACATGTAAGCTCTAGCTCCTCTAATCTACTTACTTCACACAGTACCAGTATTTAACCAGTATTAGATCAAATTAGGTCTAAAACTAACATGAAGTTCTATCTGTCCAGTATGTGCCAAAACAAGTTGATTCAACCAATATGAAAACAAATACCGTACCAGCAATGATAATTGCTCACTTAAATTTAACTAAAGAGAGCTCAAGCCCAATTTCCTAGCTAGCCTATTTTCACTCGTTTCTTTCATCCATCTTTCCGAGAAACTAAAAACACATACCTAGGGTTTTATGTATTCTGTTTTATGTACTGTATCTGGGTACCTGGTGTACAAGAAAGTAAAGTTTGAAAACCTCAACATTTTAACTGAGAATAAGAAACTATAGTATGAGTCTTAGTTTAAATGTGTCAATGTTAGGTGTATCTGCTCGTGAAAATGCTATTTATATTTTATTCGATTTTATATTTGATAGCTATTGAGCTGAATATTGGTATGATGTCTGTCATGTACCTGTATTTTAAACTATTTTTGATCTACTGTTCTATTTACAAATTGCCTTTAGTACCATTCCAAGTGAATGTATTTGGAATTGGACATCCAAGAACCTCAGACTCTCCTTTTCTTCTTTGATTCTTCCCCTGTCATCATCTTCCTTACTTCATCTGAAACCTTTTCTCTTGTGCCTCCTTTAGCATTTCGCACAGAGATGAGGGCAGAGCATAGGACAGGACGAGCCCCAAGTATGACAGGTAGAGGGGTTTCTTCATACTTCTGTTACTATGAAAATTGTCTGTGTAGGGTTACTGTATTGGAATTGGATAACATTAAATTTAAGTTTACGCAATTCACTCGTATATGGAAAAAAGATTTTTAATAGAAGATTTGAAATAGTCTGTGTTCCAGTGTCTGAAATATTGTATAAGTGCAAAATTCTTGTTACAAAACTTCTTATGGTCTGAAAAGTGCATCTGATGAGGTAATCATTGACTTCCAGATTGATCAACAACCTCACCAACTTTCAACCTCATAGATATTCTTTTTTTTTTTACTTTAATCAGTAGAGGCGATGCCACTTTTCCATCATGGTGTAGTTAATATCATAACTCTTCACCTTCAGCTCCAACCTTAACTCTTATATTCCTCCCTACCAGTTACAGAAGCCGTGCGTTCCCGTTCGGCTCGCAGTGGCCACTCCACCCCCCGCACCCCTGGCTCCACAGCCATCACCCCAGGAACCCCTCCTAGCTACTCGTCGTCCTCTAGGACCCCTGGAACCCCACGCTCCCTCAGCTTGATTTCCCAGGAGAGGAAGGTGGCTGTGGTCCGCACCCCACCCAAGTCGCCTGCAACGACGCCTAAGCAGCTCCGCATCATCAACCAGCCACTGCCTGACTTCAAGAACGTCAGGTCTAAGATAGGCTCCACAGAGAATATCAAGTACCAGCCTAAAGGAGGACAGGTGACGATCTTCTCCCTCACTTCCCCCAAAACCTGTAGCTTCTATCTAACTAATTGCTTATTTCTTTCATCTCTACAAAGCTGCATTTTACTGGTTTCATGTGTTTCAGTTTTGCTTACGTGTCTCTGTTTTAGTTTTACTCTCAGAGATGGTTACTGTCACCAAGAAATTTATTTTTGTTATAGCATACAGAAATAAAGTATATATATATCAGTACATATAAATGCAGAACCTATGCATACTGTGATAATTTCCTACCAGAATACAGTATACCCTGGAAACCATATAGTAACAAAGGGTTTTGTGGCAAAAAAAGAAATGGAGACACGCGACAACCTTTGCCATCTCTCTATGTGTGAAGAAAAAATAAGTAAAAATAAAAAATAAGTAAAACATATAATATTAGTATCCACCAATGTCCTGGTACAAATTGTGTTTAAAATGGGTTTTTGTCTAACATCTTCTGGCTTTTTCCTCTGCCTTGATTTGTTACTTAATGTTTTGTTTATTCCCCATTGCCCTTTTCTCCTATACCTCTCCACACTACCTCTTTCCACTGTTAGTTCTTCAATCATCCTGAAAGAACGATGAGCTAAGAAAGAATGGTGTGTTGTGAAAGAAAAACTATTAATTCTCGCAACCATTTATTAAACGCTGAATGTGTATTGATTAAAACTTAAAAAGTAATTTAAAAAAGAAAGAATTTAGCAAATTTTTGCTTAACTTCCAATGCATCTAGTGCAACAAACACAAATAGTTTCCCATAAAAATCTATAAAGGGTTTATGCAAATGAACAAGCCAAGAACTTGTTTAAAGTTCATTATTTTGATTCAACAGTCAGCATTGTTGACTCTGTGCCCCCATATAAAGCTATAGGCAGCCACTCCTGGCAAGTATGCTTGAATGCATATGTACTGCCTTTCATTTATAAAATAGCAGAGAGCTGGGGTAAATGCACTGTTGAAGACAGTGTGTAGCAGGAATCTGTGAACCAAGGCAGGATTGAAAGGTGAGAAAATATCACACTCAAATGGCAAGAAGTAAGTCTCCAAAGGACTGTCCATGTTCCTCTATGTCTGGTGGATGTGTAAAGAAGTAAGCATTTGTTTGAGAACACATAAGCCACAGGCAGTCATTGTATGTCAAGATTCTGCTGCTGTGAGGTTGATATAGACTCCTGTCTGCCCTCCAATTGTCAAAGATTGCTTAAAGCAACTTTAACATCATTCAGATAGAACACCCAAATGTACCAATGTGCCCCAGATCTCAGGCTGTGTTGCTAACCATGGAGCAATACTACTGATCCTGAGGATAAAGGCAGAGATGGTGATTTTTCAGAACAAATTTTACCATATTTTTAGATAAAAAAATTTAAATCAGGCCCCTGATATCAAATGTGTAGTTATGTTATGTCTTACCCTGAACTTTACGATTCTGAGGCCCCAAATTTGAATAAACTGAAGAGCGACCTGACTTTGACATCTCAGTGAGCAGTATTTGTCCCTTCAATTTTTCCCCGAGCTCTGTGAACTGAGGACAACACTTCAGCCAACAGAAATCTGCATTTCAAATCGTGTTTTCTGCTGCTGCACAAAATCTGCATTAGCAGGGTGTTAGGGAGTGTATACTCTACAGTTTGACAAATATCGTGTTCCAGCATGAGTCTAAAACACGAAGTCAGCGCTGCAACGGGAAGAATAGTGATGAAAACAGCAGTGTGTCTGTAGCCATCACCTCTTACAAGCCTCCACTGATGACCTGATTAGGAGTCTAAGCGTTTGGCTGACATCTTTATGACTTGCCAGGCCTCTGCGCTGCTCTGTGCAGCCAGCCACAAAATAGGGAGAGATCATGTTCCAAACGCCTGCCTGTCATCTGCAGGAGAAACGGAAAAAGTGGAGTTTCTGTGCATGTTTGCATGTGTTATTGTGTGTGCAAGCATGCGTGCTGGGTCATAATCAGCTATGTCAAGGCTGGCAGTGTTCTTCTTACCATGCAAGTCTCTTATGGAGTGGAGGTGTCTGTAGGTTGTAAGGCTGAGAGGCATTTCACAACTTGCAACAGGAATCTGACAAATGTTTATTCTCTACTTTGTTTTGGGGTGTGATTGTTTTTTTTTTTCTTGGAGGGTCATGCAGCTATTTGTCAGAGGTTGCCTTGACAGCAGGTAGTCCAGTGTTCACCACCAAGTGCCACATTTAGTTGTTATTGTAAAAAGGTATAGAAAGTTACCTCCTCATTAGATACATACATAAATGTCCTAACCGCAGCTGAGGATTTTTACAGAAATTGCAGGGAAATGATTCAGCTTATCAAATGAAAATGCAAAAACAATGTGATAGGGTTAAAGAGATGCTCGTAGTGATGAACGTATAGTGAATTATCACCTGAATGTGAAGCTTCCCTCCCTAAACCCTTTACTGTGCTTTATATAGAGTTTCAACTCATTATTCAGCTTTCCAGCCCACTTGGTTCACTATCACCGTTCTCACAGGATGGTTTGTGTGGTTTAGCTGAAATCAGTTGCTTGCTGCTGCTGCTTTCAGTAAAAAATCTCTAAAAACCCACTGTACACTGCCTGCTCAGCACCAAACAGCAGACAGTTAGTGACTTACTGGTGTACATAATGGAGCATTTAGCAGCCAAAGAGATATTTGACTTTGTAACAACCAAAAACAGACCTAAAAGAGTGTATGTGTAAATATAGTATTGTTATGATATATATATATATGTTGTGTTCAAAACTTGTTTATTATTCCCCCAAGTGTTTAGAAATCAGTTACTGCAGGTTCAGCAGTTCAAAAAATCAAAGAGCATATTTTTCATTTCAAGTAGGTGTCCTTTAATAGAGGCAGTTGTTACTTTATGTTTTGTTTTTGACAAGAAAACCTTCAATGTCTTTACCCACAGCCCCACAGTATGTGTGTGCTTGTGTGGGTTTGTCACCCCTGGGTGGCAATAGGTGTCTCCTATCAGACACAAAACAGTGATGGCAGCTTTTGTCTAAACACAGGGGTGACCGTCTGGGCAGAGCGATTATACTGATTCCCCAGCTTCTCTTTGGCCAGACACAAAGTTAAAATTTAATCTGCCTCTTAAGGCAATGACTTTAAAGGCATATGTATGTTTTATAAGATTCAGGAAGAAGTGTGTACACACTTTGCCCAAATTCTGCTTTTTGTGTCTCATTGCTGGAGTTAACAAATGAATGACAATGTAATTTATAAGATTATAATAAAAATACCACAAAAGAGTTGTGGCACAAATACAATATAGTGCATATAAAATACTTAATTCTACATTAATTTGTTATATTATTATACTCATTTATTTTTAATGTGTCACTATTGGATTGTGCTTTATATCAATATAACAGCAGAGAATATAGAAGATTGATATAATTGATGTGGAACTACATTTAAATAAATATATGATAACATATGATAATATATGATAAAATGTGACAAGCTGTTGTTTTAGCTGCACTGACTAAGAATTTCCAGACCAAGCAAGTATTTTTATATTATGAGCCACAAATGTTTACATTTAAACTAGCTGCTGCAGTTTACAGAGATTACAAGTTTATTTAGAGGTTTTTACTCACTTGAACAGGTGTGTAAGGCTGGCCGAGTGGTAATCCCATTTCTTGGTGTGCTTTGCTCCCCCTCGACAGCAGAACATTCGCCAGTGTATAATGAAATGAGTATACTAAAAACACTCATAGGGTTAAATAGTAATGGATTATAAGTAATGCACACGAGTAATGAAGTATTTATTGAGAAAAAGAACATGTGTTAATGTACTACTCATGTTTTTTTTTTAAAAACGGTTCTTCTTCTCTTTACTAGAGTATATTATTGAGCCAGTAATGCACTCTTTTGACCACAATGTGATGACGATGATGGAGTAAAACACAGAACAAGAGTCTCCAGTGACAATCCGTGGACATATCTGGCCACTTTTTATACCAAAATCTAAAAAACAAACATTTACATGATGAAGCGTTTGCTGTGAAAAACACTGAGACCTCCTCTCATCTTCTAACCTCCACAAGCACATTGAATAAGTTGCACTTACTGTAGGTAAAAATGTATGTACTACCAACTCCAACATCAACATTACTTTCATAATTGCAGTACTAATCACACCTTAAAGTGAGTCATTTTTAATGGGAGTAACTGTACTTTCACTCGAGAGCATCTGTCTGCCTGTAAGATCACCTTTAAGCTCCTGCCCACTTCTACTGTGGTCCTCTTCTCAACCACCTGTACCCTGTGTGACTGAAATATTCCTGAACTATCCTTCTATTCTCCTTGCTTATGCTGTAAGCTCCTATTTCCACAAGAACCAAGAAATTCTTGTCATGTTTTAAGCTCGGTTCTCATTAGTTTTTTAGTATTCCAGAAGGTTTTGATTGAACTTTATTAGTTTTCACAGTTTTCACATGACAGCACTGTAGTCATCTCCTGACCTTTAGTAGTTCCTATAGCAGCTCCATGGTCCAAGTAGTTCAGATTTCCAAGCAGCTGTAGTGAGCCTCCCCAAGCCCACAGCAGGTCTCTGCCCGACCACTGACCTGTCCAATGATTGTCCTCATAGAAGCCCAAGGAGCAAAATATGCCAACAGAGGCCAAACAAAGGGCCTCTTGGATCTGGAAGTCAGTGCTGCGCCTCATCTCCGTTACTCTGTGTCTGTCAGCGGCACACAGTGTGACCTGGACCCAAGACCTGCTGGTACACCTCAGCACTGTTAATTATTGCACCATGTGTTTTACAGAGCCTGGATAAGACTGTGCCACTGAAATAATTAAAAACCTTTACAGTGTTTAATTTTATGAATTAATTTATACCATGATCAATTTGAATAGCTATTTTTGATTTATTAAATTTGCATTTTAATGAGGCATTAATAAAGTAAAAGTAAAAAAAGAAAAATACATTAAATCAAATAATTTCATTCACCAATATTAAATTAAGTCCAACCCACAGAGCAGAAGTGGGAGCTGTTACATCAGTCACTGGGGGAAGGAGTCATGTGTGGGATCAAGCAGGGGTGGGTTAATTTAACTTTTAGGTGCTAAGTCATCTTTAAATTCAAGAGGTCTGTCTTTAAAGAACCCGCTCATGACAGTAGAAACTGTGAATGATGAGTATTTAATTTTTGCTATTCTATGTTTTATATCTTGCATATTTTCATCATCTGAGTGTCACACTCCAGGCTGCATAGTTAGACTCTCTATAAAGGAAAACACCAAGTTTCTGGCCTGTTTATCAACTTTACTGTCTCACAAGGAAGTTTGTAGGAATTCTTGCAATGTATGATGCAAGGTTTAGCAGGAGACAACTGTTAAAAAAAAGTTTCCCCCAAACTAATGTAAAGTTTAAATTAGTAATACTGTCCCTGTTTCCATAGTTAATATGCATATGCATGTAAAATAATGCTCACTTGAGATTGTTTCAAACCAAAATCTGTCTATGTCAGCTGTATTAAATTAATGGTATTTTTAAATCTTAGAAACTAATATAAAGAAACAAGAATAGGAACAAAAATACAATGAACATTTTAGTATTCATTCCCATCCACCACCACACCACAAGAGGCCCATACTATCTCTGTATTTCTCCATAGATTCATATTTTAAACAAGAAGCGGGACTTCAGTCACATACTGTCAAAATGCAGCTCCGAGGATAATCTGAAGCCTTCTCCCCATGGAGGAAATGTATGTACCCTTCTGTCATGACCGATTGTTCTCCTCCTTCTTGATCCTTCAATAGAGGAGAAGGGTGAAGACCATGATTTCATTCTAGTTTGTTCCTTTTTTTAATTAAAGTCCAATTAAGTGACATGCAACAAGTTGTTTTTTGTTGTGCTGTACAAATCTGGATACATGGCTAGCTTGATGGTCTAGTATGATAGTACCATAGTTTGTCTCCCCCGTCCCTCCACACGCTACGCTTTACAATTTTTCTTTTAAGAATCATATTTTACTCACATACACACGAGCAGCCAATAAAAACATAGCAACTGGTCTGACGGCTTCTGTTTTTAGCCACCTTCTTGCTGTGAGGGCAGTGCCATAAAACTCAAAATAACCCAACTGTCTGGCACCAAATTGGCTTTATGGTTAGGGAGAGCCAGATGACCAAAACCATATGCTGCTATACTCAAATAACCTCAAGTAAGACACTTTAAGTCCTCCCAACACTTATGACTTGACTTCCCATCAGAAGGGGGCTAAATAAGAAGTAAATATTACCTACAGAAATTGCTGTCATAATTTATCTGTGGTTAGTTTAGTTTTTTGGTTTTAGTTTAATCCTTTAATAATGTACATATTGGGTCTTGTCTTGTGTTCGGTAGTTAGTTCTCACTTTCTTGTTGAAGCCATTGTAGATGTTCCTAGAGACTAGTATTGGCTCTACCACTGTCTTTTCCCCTCCCTGGCAATGGCTCTGACTTCCTGTCGTTTTCATTGGTGATAATTTGGATTCTGGATGTCGCCCAGATTAAAGATGAAATTAAAAGACACAGTGAAATTTGGTTTGATCTCTCTTGTTCCAATTTTATTTAATGCTACACTGGCTACAAATGTTGTTTTTGTTAACATTTGTAATGTTAAATGTGTGATGCTTATATGTTTGGACAGGTTGTAGTCAAAAGAGAGAAAGGCCTAAAGCATTGCTATTATTTTAATTAGGAACAGATGATAAAACAGCAGCCCTAATTAAATATTATAAAAGAAATGTGCAGCGTTTCTCTGGAAAATGAAGCAGCTCAACAAATAGTTGTGCACAGTTTCGTTTGTAATTTCTAATGTTTTACTAACATTCAGAAGTCTATATTGTTATCAGCTCAAACTGAGGGTGATTTCTAATGACAGCACTTTGGTTCACTGGTTGTGAGGACTGTTTCATGTCTTTGTCCTTTTACCAAACCCCAGGAGGGCTCACTTATTAGAAATGTTGTCACTATGTGGCCCACTCAATGACTCAAAGACTGTGCTTAACTTGGAAATGAATGCATCCTTAGTAAACCACCAACAAACTCAACAACCCCCCTTGTTTTCAACTGAAATTTCCTCTTGTTTGTCATATGTCCGTCTAGTATACTTCTGTGTGTCATATATACGTACATATAGAAGCGGTACTCTCATTCTATACTTGTGTTGTCAAGAAAACTTTTTTATTCTTACAGTAGTGTTTTAAGCATGGAGTAAACAATTAGTATATTCTCATATATAGTATTATATACAGTTTTGCAGTATTTCAAAGCATTTAAAAGTACTGCTCCTCAGCTCCTTGCAGTCTCTCCTCTCCTTTGGAGCTCTTCAGTCCTTTCTCCAGAAAGTGTGTTGAATATGTATGTATGTCTTTTTCCTATCCAGTGTAGTTCCCATTGCTTTTACTGTGCCGCTGGGTGAAATGTATTTCTTGTTACTCTGCTGTGTCTGCATCTCACACCTGCTTTCTCTCCTTGCAGCTACAGAGAGCCATTCACCATCGCAGCACACTCATATTTTATCATCCTTACACACTAAACTAATGGTTTCACGTGTTCACTGCTTTTATTTTGCATCTTGAATCTTGAAGTCCAAATGCAAGAAGTACAAAACCATAAATGAAATTCTGGCAACTTATTCTAGTACGTTCTAGAGGTGTTGTCTTTTCTGGTTTCCTTGACAGTTTTGCATCCCTTTATGGACCCAAAGTCCATGTAAAAACAAATTAATCTTAATAACATCATGATATTCTGCCCCCAAGGCATTATACCTACAAATCCTCCTGTGGCTAATTGGCACACTAACTACTTTTGGCTTCACCTAAAAATATTTTTGGCAGGGAATTCGTTAAAGGAGGTTGATTTCTCAAAGTGGGCCTAGAGTAAAGAGGCCAGGTTTGGTACATAAGCTGATACAAATGGCCAAAACTCATGCTGAGAGACATGTAGTGAGATGAATCTGTCTTGCCTGTTAGAGTCATTAAATGATTGTTTGTCCAGAGCAACAGGGGAACCACCAGATCAAATATTACTGTCTACATCACATTCAAACAGACTCAGATGTCTAGGACAGAATATTTCAACAGCGGGAGGATACAAGCTCTTTAAGAGATGTTTAAAATGAAGTGCCAGAAAAGCCCAAGCCTTTTCCCACCTCATTCCTCACCTCCGCCCCTGCAGGTTCTCATCCCCAGTGTTAAGCTGAACTATAGCCATGTTCAGTCTAGGTGTGGGTCCTTGGACAGGCGGGGCTACTCGGCAGGAGGTGGAAACGTGAGTCTTGTGCTGCAAAGTCCATTGTCTCAATGTTCATGTCGGTGTTATTTCCCTGTTGTGTCGTGTTTTTCCGTGTCTCCTTTTTATGTTTTGTTTTTTTCACCTCGCTTTAGAGCTTCCCAGTTTATTGTTAAGTCAATCACTCATTAAGGCGGCAGTGCTGGGGCTCTTTACCTGACTGCTCTGGATTGACACTGCATTCCCCAGCAGTGGTTTGTGTCCTGCGAGGAATTTTGATACTAAAGGCTGAATGTCTCCCCCTCCAGCACTTTATAACATTCAGGACTGTAACTGTAGTTTTGGCATCTTCTTTTAACCTTAATATCTTTTTTCTGCCCTTTCCTGCGTAGTATGGTGACTCACTGTGCACCACAGTAGAGGAGAGGCACATTAAGGGGTGTGTCACTGGTAATCCACTGGTAACAGCACTAAAGGATTACCTGTGTCTGCGATGAACAACGTCATGTGGTACAGCAAATTCATGGCTGTTTATTTAACAATGTTGGTTATAATTCATAGTGGTGTGACCAGAAACACGAGTTAGACACTTCACAAGCAATTGCTTTGTTCCCAGTTTTGCAGCAGTGAAAACATTCACTGGTTAACTGTGTAGATCATTGTCATTCTAAATCATATAACATCATAATCATTGGTCTTTCAATATGTACAGAATCACCAATACAGCTTTAAAGAGACATCTGACATTGATGGTATGCTTTGGCCAGCGGATGGAGCCAAATATAAATAATAAATAAAAAGGAAGAAACTTTTAGCAACTACCAAACTTGCTTACCCAAGTTACTGTCTAATTACTGTAGTTTTACCTGAAAAAACAGAACAAAAATGAGGTAACCATCCCCATATTAAACATACATATGGATAATCACTGAAACTAAGGATTGCTCAGTGATTGGAAAATTACATTGTCTGTACACCTGTATTTGTTGTAGTACCAAAACTAATACTGGATTTTGTTTTATCAGAATCAGAAATACTTTAATAATCCCAGGGGGAAATTATTTTATTTTATAAATGCCAAGTAAAAAAAACTCATCATCATAATATGAATGAAAAAGATTCCAACAGTGCAGTTAATAGATCTCATAAATATCTGATCGCTGGAGAGAAGAGCCAACCTGCAGCCTGGTTTTCACCCACGCTGACACAAACCACATCTCATCTCTGTCTTTATACTCATGCCCTGTATCTTTGTTAGTGTTATGCAGGAGTAGTTCTGGTAGATGGACAGGCTAAGGTGCAGTGGTGGAAGAAGTATTACAATCCTAAAACAATGAGTGCCACACTGTGAAAATACTCCACTACAAGTTAAATTTCTGTATTGTCAGCAAAATGTAATTCAAATTACAGTAAAGGTACTTATTTTGCAGTACAATGTTCCTTCCTTTCCTATTATATATGATGTTTTTAGATTCCTTTTAGACTCCTGTATTAATGTGTATGCTGCATTTTACTGCTGTAGATGTTTAAGGCTGGGCTAATTTGAACTACTTTATATCCCTAAAGAAATGCATCATACTCTATAAGATGGTCATATGTTTGTAGCGTCACTGTCCTGTGAGAACCACGTATCTCAAATAAGTCAACTTTAATGAGTTCAGAACAACAACCCTGTTTTCAGCTTCGTGACAATGTGTTTTCCAGCTAATCCGATGGTTTAAACAGTTTATTTATATTGAGAAGTAGAAGATTTTTTTCAACCCATTAATTCTTGAGTTTATCATAACAATTCACTTTTGAAATCACCAGATTTGGTGTAATTTGTAAAGTAACTAGTGACTAAAGTTGTCAGACAGATGTAGTTGAATAAAAAGTACAATATTTGCCTCAAGATGTAGTGGAGAAGTGTAAAGTTGCATAAAATGTACATCGAATCTGTACTTGCGTACAGTACTTGAGTAAATGTACTTTGTAACATTCCACCACTGCTAAGGTGCATACTGTACTTTGTGCTCATGGTGTTGTGGTTTGTAACGTGGCTCACGACCTGCGTTGTTCATCCCCGTCTCACTTTTCCTGTCGTTTTCTTTCCTCTCAGGCTATGTAAGAAAGCAAAAGACAAAAATAAACACCAAATCATTGGTTACAAAAGACATATCAGCTAAATCTGTGACTTGGCAAAGTGATTGCTGACCACAGGCGTGTCCCAGTGATTCATCTCAGGGTGTGGCGTATCTCTTCTTGTTCATTGTGCTGTGTCTAAAGCTTTATAGCTTCGCTCTGTTTGCTGTCTCATCGGTTCCCTCCTTATATATCTCTCTGTGGTTTTCTCTTCAGATCCCCAGGGTGTGTCACATAACAAAATATCCTTATCTCCTGTACGCCTGTGGCCACTTTCAACTGCGCATTCCTACTTTACTGTCTTACACTGAATCATCCCTGTTATGGTGCATGTTTGACAGGTTTTCTGAATGTGCCAAAACATTTTTAGCTCAAGACACAGTTACAGCACATGGCTTGTACTGAATCTTGGTTTGGTTGCTTTAACAGACACCAGCAGCTCTCCCCACAGCAGAACACAAAAAAACTGTTATTTAGTAGTCACTGACATTCTGCTCTTGTGCTTTCTTGCCTGTGTTTTCTAATAATAACATGCAATTAGATATCACTGTGTTTGAACGTGGAAAGCATCTACTTGTCAGTTGATACCCAATCATTTTCTTCAAACAGCAGCTACAGTTTAGTACAGATCAGATACACTAGGTCCTTCTCTATAATTCATCAGAAGGAAGATACTATTTGGAACTTCTGTGTGAGGATCGTTTGAGGTCAGCGGAGGTTTATACCCTCATTGTGAACCGTGAGCTTTGACCTTGTCTTTTCCTGACTTTGCTTCTTCTAGGTGATGATACAGAACAAGAAGATCGACTTGAGCCATGTGACCTCCAAATGTGGCTCTCTAGACAACATCCATCATCGGCCAGGTAACAATTAGCCTGTATTTGTTCAGGTAAAACTGAGGGGTAACACTGGGAGTGTTCCAGTGCTTGAATAAAGGTCAGAGAAGCATGTTAGCAGCAGGTCACTGGTGCAATCCCTAACACTGCAGTATGAATTCATATGTTGGGTGTCCAGCAATCTATAGCCCTGCCCAGATGCACTTGAGCAAGGTACCTGTCTTTCATGAGCTGCTACTCAGATTGTGGTTGTACTTGGCAGCTCCCAGGTTGGAACGTTGTGAGGATGAAAAATAAAACAACTGCCAGCTGCCATTGGAGCACTATAGAATAACCAGCAGCCAGAGGAGGGCAAGAAGTGTGGAGGGCAAAGTTCACCTCAATGAACTATAACCTACAAGGGAAACGGAAGGGAAGGGAAGGGAGGGGAAATCGCAGCTTGGTAACCATTCACACTTGACATCCATCTAGTAGTAATACATTAGATTTCACTCAAGGACCCCATGCCATGCTCTATGGGCCACATAGAGCATACCAGTGACATTTTACCGGCCAAGCTGGATAACTTCTATTTTACCTCTCCATTAACATAATTGGGGATAAAATGATTTATTGTGACTCTTGGACTTTTCAAATGTTATTGGATGGAAGGAAAACGCATGTAGAACACATTGTGATCAGATAAAAAAATCGATTTTAAAAAATTATAAATTTAATAGAACAGATGTCATTACAGATTACATGTAATACCAGGTGTAAATATGAGAGTCCCACAGGTTAGGTGTGTTTACCTGTCAGTGAAATTGAATTCATTGTTGCTGTTTGTAAACTGGCAATAATGTGCTATGTAATCTAATTAAGTAATGAATGTAATTTGCACTTTATATTTAACTGAAATAACACTCCAAACAGATAAAGCTCCGGCACTGTGGAGGCAAGCAGTATTTGGACTGACAGCACTGTAGATCTGTCCACAGGCGGCCGAATGTGGGAGGTGTTGTGATTCCTGGCGGCCTCGTTGTGTGAGGATGTCGATGAATTGTTAATGAACTGTATTGGATCACATCTGGAGAAGGTTATCCAATTTATAATTTTTAATTCAAATCACTGACTGTAAAAGAGCCAAAACATCACGCATTTCACATGATCTAATGCACTTATCTATAAGACTTTCGGAAGTTCATCAACTTTGTAGTGCAAATCACACTGAAATATAATGTGCAAACATTAGCAGTGCTGTTCGACGATAGTAATCCCAGTCAGAGAGAGCATGCTTGCTCTGTGTAGGAACAACTGATGGTGTGGTGAAACTGGTCAGGACTGCAGACTAGGCCAAAAAAAAAACATACAGTCCACAGCTAGTTTTGATGACTACTTTCAGTAATACCAAAATGGATTTAGGGAAGTCGCTGTTGTGTTTTAGCTTCTGATGCCTTGATCATCACAAATGACAGTCTACTCACCTCCACTGTGTTGGGGTAGTGGTAGGATTGTGACTGTGGCACACAGGCCAAAACCTTACTAAGATCAAGGCAGGTTTCAGGAGTACTTGCTGTTTTGCTGTGAGGTGTAGAACCCCCCTCTCCACTCCTAGATGGTGTTGTGGCGACTACTTCAGGTCCTGCAGCTCCATCTCCTGGTCCCTTTCTGTCTGTGTTTCCATTTTATATCCTTTATTCACTCAGGAATTGCTGAGCATCCAAGTTCTTTCAGTAAAGCATTACGCATTCACCTTCATGAAAAGTTTTTATATAAGCAAACTTTCTAACCTAATCAACCCTTGTTTCACTTATAGTCAGTTGCTACCACTATGTGAACCTGAGGAGATACAGTGTATAGCCAAAAGTCTGTGGACACCCCCAGTCATTATTGAGTCCATGTACCACGCACAAAGTAAGGTCAATAAAGACATGGTTAGACGAGTTTGGTGTGTGAGTGTGTGTTTTGTTGCCCTACACAGAACACTCCCCTCAACTCCCATTGAACACATTTGGGAGAAATTAGAACAGCATTTGTGAGCCAGGCCTTCTTGTCCAACATCAGTGCTTGACCTCACAAATGCTCTTTTGGCTGAATGGGCACAAACTCCCACAGACACACAATCTTGTGGAAGCCTTTCCCAGAAAAGTGATCCAACTCCATATTAATGCCCGTGGTGTTAGAATGGGATTTTAACAAGCTCATATAGGTGTGATGGTCAAGTGTCCACTGACTTTTGACCATATAGTGGATCTCATGTCTCTCTCTCTGCCCTGTTTTTCTTACTTTTTTTTTTCAGGAGGCGGTAACGTGCGTATAGAGACTGTGAAGTTGGACTTTAAAGACAAAGCCCAAGCCAAGGTGGGTTCCCTGGATAATGCTCACCACACTCCTGGTGGAGGCCACGTCATGGTGAGTGTCAGCTACATGCTCCCAATCCATGATTTAAAGGAAAACAAGTTTTTGAAAGATTATCTTACTAATCAATTTTGATATAAACTCTCATAAGATGTTTTCTTCTTGTTTGAGTGTAATTCCCTATACAAGTTATGTTGCACAGACTTTCAGTGTCCTTGATTTGTACAGTTTCCTGTAAATGTATCTATAAACATAACTGTAATCTTAAAAGATAGATACATAGTCTAATATATAGTATTGTCTGGGTAAAACTGGTAGGTTAAATAAAAGTTGGTAAAGCATACATGTAATATAAAAACATGTTTAACAAGGCAATCTTCCAAAAACTTGTTGGATTCCTTTATCTGCCTGTGAGGGTAAAGGTATAGTATACGCCGCTATCAATAAATAATGTACAGATTAAGGTGTTCATCAAGTATTTAGTTCTGAAGTCAACACGGGACTAAGAGCAACAGCTTCTGGGTAGGGCTCTCTACAGTTTAACTTTGGTGTTCTATTTGTGGTTCTTCTAAAGCTGACTCACAAAGATACATATACATATTTCTTATATATTTAATATTTCTTTCTTCTACATGATATGAAAATGATCTATTTCTTCTTCCCCGTCCACCTCTCACATCATCGCTCCATTCGCCTCTGTTAGATTGAGAGTCACAGGCTGGCGTTTCGTGACCAGGCCAAAGCGCGAGTGGACCACGGAGCTGAGATCATCGTCCAATCTCCAGGCCTGTCCGGCTCAGTGTCTCCCCAGCGCCATCGGGACAGCCACCTATCATCCTCCGGCAGTCTCAACATGATGGATTCGCCGCAGTTAGCAACCCTGGCTGAGGATGTCACTGCAGCTCTGGCCAAGCAGGGTTTGTGAACACTGGATCTCTGGATACCTGCTCTGCACCCCAGACATCCTCACCCTGATCCCTTTGAGACTTTTCTGCCCATTTCTGCCACCCTGAGGCCAACCTCAGCTAAACCACAGCCTCTAAACATCTCCACTTAAAGATCCATAACTCAACTTTTAAGTAGAGACTCGAATTAGGAGCTACTGTACGGTCCTCTTTATTTCCTGTCTATTTTAAATCCAAATATGTGCTATTTCTGATTCATTTTGTTGGCCTCTCTCTTTTTGAATGATGTTGCATAGAATAGTTCAGTCTGAGCACTGGTCCTAGATTAAGAGGTGAATACAAAGTGGGGGCCAGGTATTGGCTTGACTGGTCCTGGATCAGTGTTTTGAAGAAGCTACAGCCTTTTTTCTACATTAAATAAGACGTAATGTGGCCAGCACACCACGCAGCACGTGTTGTTCTTGCTCAGTAAACGTGCATGGACGCCAAACTCCCTAACAAACCAAGCATCCTTACTGCAAGTCATTCTTGTCATCCAATATACAATATATTTAACAAATATATAGAGAAACATGTATAAAAATACGAGTTCTTTGCCATCTACATGTCCTAAAACATTTTAAAAGGAAGTGACAATATGGCTATAAAATATACTTGTAAAATTGCATTACTGCAAGAACTAGGTCATGTTATGACAAGCATGTATTGATTCTAATATTAAAAGAGGCTATTTTGTAATCTAAAGAAAGGATTTTAGTAAGTTATTTCCTCAATTATTGGATAAAGATAAAACAAGTTCATGTTTTGTAGTTATTAGTTGTTTACAGTGTAATGCTTGGTGACAGTGTCAGACAGCTGAATTGGTGTTGCTAAGGAATGCATCTCAGTCCTGTTGAAGAGCATCATACACTTGTACCTGCTCAGTAGTTCAATATAGACGCCTGTTTACATCCGAACAGTATTAAACACTGGAGCTCATTCCGCAAACCTCCATCCAAAAAGGAAAGAGTTATAAGTATCTTGTCTTTACAGCTGCAGATATTCGGCTCACACGAATGAACAGTACAGACATTTCCTCCGCTATCACAGGCTGATCATCAGCTCATCAGGACTATCTGCTGGACCACAGAGGATGACGCTACGAATGCGACCTGAGATTTAGCAGAAGATGCAGCTACTCTGAAATCTGTCTGTGTGTGTGTGCGTTTGGTGCAGATCCCATGCCGTTTTACGACGTATGCTACCGTATCTGGATGTTTTGTTGCAATATGTGGGAGAAGAAAGTGGAATAAAATATTTTGAAAACTCCATTAAAAAGACAATTCATGAAGAAAAATAAAATGACCGAGGGAACTCGGATCCTGTTACATCTGTTAGGAAAAAAGTGTTTGGGTGATCTAGTTTCTTTTTCGGACACCATTTGTGGTATATCCTGCCTCCTGCCTAATTACTGCCCTCACCTGCAACTGTTTGCTTCTGTGTTTTTTCTGCATACCCCATCTCCGTGTGCCCCCTTCCCACCTCCTGCTCCACCCTACAGCAACTGTAAATGTATTTAAAAGGTCAAGTAGATGTACGCAGTTTTTCTCTTGTTGATATGACACCAATTACAATAAGTAATGACAATAAAAAGGACAAAAAGTGATACTGGAGTAGTGTCTTCTATTCAGTCAGTAGTTTGGCTTTTTTGGAAAATACACATTCTTGTTAAGAGTTTATGAGAAGATTGATACCGCTCGGATGATTGTATGGTTAATATGAAGCTACAGCCAGGAGACAATTAGCTTAGTTAGCCTGGCTATGTCCAAAAGTAACAAAATCCATATGACAGCACCTCTAAAGCTCACTAATTTACACAGTTTATCTGTTTAACCTACAAAAATGAGTATTGTTCGTTATGTTTTTATCGCACTCTAGGCAAGAAGGCAAATAAGTATATTTCCCAAAATGTCAAATTATTCCTTTAACATGCATCTGGCTGAATTATACAGGCTATGCAAATGATTTGCATCTAAATAAATAGAGTCAAAAATTTGGGGAAAAAAATGGGAGTATGTGAAAAGTTTATTGTGAAATGGCAGAGGATACAATAAGTTAAGACCTAGGAATCGGTTGGGCAAGGAGTGGATTCATTTTGATTGCCAGTCCTGGTCGAAACCAGTCACTTCACTGGCAGATAGAAATAGATAGCCAGACAGTAAGTGACAGGAGGGGATGGTCATCAGTATCCCACATTCCCCTCCATCACTGAACCACTGTGAAAAACCACTGATGATTAAAAAAAAAACCCAATGAGACAGGGGGACCTGGGTGAAGATGAGGAAAGAAACATCTTGTGGGAAATCAGGATGGCTTCTTGAAGAGCAGGAGGAGGAGGAAGAGAGAAAAAAAGCACCAGATGGACAAAAAAAAATTGTAGAACAAAATAAAAGAAGGGTTCAGGAAATGACATCTCATAGTCCTTTGTTCCCCCTGCTTCCTCAGGTGGTACAGGAAACAGTGAGTGGATGTCGCGACACCATGGGGTCTCCACATATACGATGCTCACCAGTGCAGTGGCAGGGTCCTTACACAGACATGATGTGCTTGACAAAGGCTGCAGATGAAGACCAGGACAGTACACAGAGAGGACAGAAGAGAGGGAAATGAGTGAGTGAGGAGAAGAATGCACAAAAAGTTCAAAATGGAAAATGTGTTGGGTCTAGTTTACGAACTATGTAAAATACTGTACATTCATTTTACTGGAATATCTGATGAAAGGATTCACACCTCACCTTCTACGTTAGTATTTAAATGGCCACTTCAACAATTCAGTAATGTAATTCCATAAAGATGGAGGACTCATTTTTTTTTTAATAGTGAAAATTGAAGAAGTGGATGTTAAAATATCCTGACTTTTAGTTCCTAGTAAGGGTTATGCTAAAACAGCACTGGATCCAACATCTCCCATAATAAAATTCAACAGCGTTTTTACTTATGATGACAAAAATGTCAAATCTTGTAAAGCTCCCTTCCAAGCCAAAGAAGACGTACAACTGTTTTCACTGATTGGTATTCTCCAAGTAAACTAAACTTTAATGGTAAAAATGGTGCCGTGCCACCTTTAAATTCTGTAAGGATTATTGTCAATAAATATTTAATATGTTAAATAATACACAAACAGTGTAGAATATCAAAAAGAAAACATATATTAGTCATAATGTTGTCATTTGTGGCTCACCCTCATAGTTGATACAGCCGTTCTCGTCCTCTTGTCCTGCCATGAGAGCATCAATCTCAGCCTCATTCATCTTCTCTCCTGTAGGTGGAGACATCCAGTATTAATACACACACATAGTAACACACATACACATAAACACACAGATACACCAGAGTCCTAGCCTGACTCACCCAGTGTTGACAGAACAATACGCAGCTCAGCGCCCATCACTGTGCCGTTGCCCTCCTTGTCAAAGACGCGCAGACCCTCAACGTAGTCCTCGAATCCTGCCTTGTTTGGGTTGTTGATGATGGACTGGAGCATGGGCAGGAAACCCTCGAAATCTACTCTCTTGCTGGTCATGTCTGCATGAAAGGAGACAGTAGACAGTCAGTTCCATCCAGAGGTTTGAGAAAACAGGCATGGAAGTCCTTGTAGACACATGTTCAGCATCAATAATACATCCCCATCGTTCTACTACAAACTGCTCTACAGGGTTTGTAGGTTAATGATGAAGCAAAGTATGTGAAAAAGTTCCAATTTTGAAGGAAAATGTTTTGTTTATTTTTTTTATTTTTCATGTGTAATTCTATGCGGTAGCTTGCAGATTTGATACAATCTTGACTGTGCAGAGTGAAGGACAGTTTTGGTTCTATCCGTAATGACTGAGCATCATGCATCCATTTTGGTATAAAGGTTATAGATTTATGACTGCACAGACCAGATCAGAAGTCAAAAAAGTATAATTCTGCTTTTTTTTTTTTTTTACGATAAATGTGATTAAAAACCAAAACAAAATATATATTATAGACTAGTCAAATTCTTAAATGGAAGAAAAGCTTTGTTGCACTGACTTCTGAGGGTTGAGAGATTAAAATTTGTTGCATGTCTAACCTCACTGACCATCCTAGTAGGATGTGGAAAGGTGCAGACCTTTGCACATGTGATCACACCCAACTGTGACACAGATGGTGTTTTACTTCATGGGTTGCGGTCGTGCATGCAGCAAGGTGACAATTTTAACCGCTGGCTAGCAGCACAAGAAGGATTTTCAGCCTTTATGCAGAATATATATTTACTCCATTCCTGAGACATCAGATCTGCTCCACGTATTCTCTCTATAACATTATTTTTAAAGAGCAGACTGATTTAAAACGAAAGAAAAACAGCTGATTCAAATCAACATGACTGATAACAACCACAAAAGCAGCTATTTATCAATTGAACACTTTAAACTGTGTGCCCATTTTATAAATTGTATAAATAAACACCATAAACACCAGCGACTAATGTAAACTGAACCAAGCATTATTGGTCACCACCAACACTCATTAGGCACATTATTCAAATCTGCCCTATGAATTACTGATCAGTTCCATCATATATGCATACAAAAATCATTAATTTTATCAATATCATTAACACGGCCTGCAGTATCTCTTACCGTCATTGGAGGGGTTTCCAAGCAGTTTGGTCACCTCCTTGTTGGTGGGGTTCTGTCCCAGAGCGCGCATGATGTCAGCGATCTGGTTGTAAGCCACCTTGTTGTCGCCCACCCTGTCGAACAGACCAAAGGCCTCCCTGTAGTCTGAAGAGTGGAGGAAAATAGGATGTTGTCACTTTAATGATATTCTCATATTCCTAATATAATACATTAATATATGCATATAAAATATTGATTATGGGACTTAAAATTATTCAACTTCTATTGTATTATATCCACTGTAGTAATTCGTTTAGTAGTTGATGTAGTTGAAGTTTAAATTAACTTAATCAATGTGCAGGGTTTTGTAATTTTATTTTTTATTTGTGTGGTATAAATTATAGTGTTTCATTAAATTAATTGTACGTTTTGTTATATTAATATACTGTAACAGAGTTAGCTTAGAGCAGCATTTCACCTGCAGTTCCAAATATATGATGTATTTAGTTATGCATTTTTATATTTAATTGCATACATTTGGCTTATACTTATTTGTATGTTATTCTTGATTCTTCAATTATTTATTTTTTATTTCCCTGCAAAGTTTCATCATATTGAGGTATAATAATCTAAGCAGCTCCAGCTTAAAATGTATTCTGAAATTATTTTATGTTAACAAATAAAACTGCTGTATGTATTATACTAAATATATATATCTGCATTTTTTATAGCAAGTGTAAAATGCAACTTTTCCCACAATTGGAGACAGTGTTCTGAATTTTAATGTAGCTGTGGCTGTCTCACGCCTGCCAGCAGGTGGAGGCAGCTCCTCTGAAAACTGACAAGGCAAACATATAACAAGGGCAAGACGTCTCTATAGGTTGCGGTATTTTGGGCTGAATGGACTGACTCCTGTCGAGCTCCGTCACCCCTTATACTATTTCTATCTCAGCTGTCTCCCCTCTCTCTAATTCTCCCTCTCTCCCCCTCTCTCTCTCAGCAGGGCTACGGGCTCTTTTAAAAGACCACCTTGGAATTGATAAACATAGCTGAGAATATGAGCCCCCTCCTTTTAAAGGCAAGGCCCTCTGTGGGTGAGCTGAGCAAAAGTAGGGAATGCTGACTGCGGTGTAACAAGCAGCCGGCCAGACGACAGGTCTGGTCCGGAGATGTCCATTCTAGGGTCAGAAAAGACCAACAGTGCACATGTTTTTCTTTCTAGCAAACATCCAAGTATTCTAAAATATCCTCCTGTAATCCCTGAAATGAGCTGCTGACATTTTTTGACTGCTATGAAAATATGTACTCTCTTGCAAACGGTTTGATATCACTGATCTAGTAACACATTTAGAGTCCTATGTCACCAACAAGTGGCCAATAAACAATCTGCCGTTCATATCAGGACACAAGGATTGGCTGAATTCCCTCACAACTGACTCTTGGTCCCCAGTAATTAAATGAAACACTATATCAATGGTCCCCATCTTTGGTTAATAAGTGATATAATCTGAATGCTTTGGTTGAAGGTGATTATTAGTACAATCAGCTTGTGTTTGCAATGAAATCCTGCATGAAGTTTATTCTGCATTACACTGCACTTCTTTTTGATGCACTGTCTCTTGCAAAATGTTGCATTGACAACAGCTGACATTTAATTTATTTAAGGTTTTTTTTTATTATTTGCATTTAGCCAAGAAATGATGATTTTGTTTAGAAGATGTTGTGGATGCTTTCTTTGTGATGTAGTGTTCAAGTTTTTATTTGTTCCAACCTTGCTGCTGAAAACACTTGCTTTTTCTGTTTTGTGAGACTTTAAGGTTTACTTAAAGTTTACTGGACACTTGAATAGGTATTTTAGCATCATAGTATCTATCAAATTTCACAAGACATCTGCTAGTCTCATTGAATGTCAAAACACAAAAATGACAGCAGTGACCATTAGACTAGTACCAAGTCTGTTGCAGGTTAATCTTTACGGCCAGAGTACTCTACACTGTTTTACTCTCAAATGTGTTAGTCTTTT